GATTTGTAAATTAGAAATCAAGTTGAAATTTTTAATTGTTCATGGTTTTAATATAGTTTAACTGCAACCATGTAACTGTATATAAAAATACATGACAGGAAATCTACTTATTCAGGCTTCACTTTTTTTCACGATATATCTAAGGACCTTCTAAATTATCATCTCTTATAATAATATTATTGTGAACTCGAAATGGGAAGTGTACCTATTTTATGTTTAGGTTGTCTTATATTAATGTACCATTTTCTTACGAACCTAATTATTCTGACAGCTTGAATTTGAACATTTATTCTCGAATTATTTTGATGGTGATCGTATTTAATTTGTGCCTGTTGATTTATTCACTTGCATTAATGCATAATTTTTTGTTACAATGTAGCGCAACAAAGATTTGTTGGCTTTGCAGTTTCAGTAATCCATTAAATCATCAGCAGAACTTCTTTTTAATTTAACAAAATGAACAAGTTTAAGTTCATCGGTTCATTGCAACAATGTTAGTAGGGGAGATTTTAGCGCAAGTTGTCTCGAAAACCTTTTTTTTAATTACGTTCCAGCCTGGGGTACCACTCTCTCGTGGAATGAGCGGGTCGCTTGTCCCGCGAGACAAGTGGATGAGGCCGTCAATTATGTAACATACCTTGTGAATCTAGCAACACAACGTAAGACTAAAAACTGAGGAGAGCTAAATCCCCCCGATCAGAGCCATCGATCCCATAACCGTGTGATAACCCAAACTTTCCGCCTTAAATTGACCTTGAAAAAGTTTGAAAGGCCCGCGAAAAATTCGAAAATTCAAAATTTGGCATTGGCTGTGATCGTCTAACAAAATGGAAACCTACGTTGTGGTTTTTTTTGAGAAATGGCGGGAAGACGTTCTTTCATACAAGTAAGCATACACTGCGTGTGAGTCGGGAGCGCAAGAAATAATAGACAAAATTTTTGGGAGGGGGCTAAAATTCGCACCCCCTCTCTAGGAGGAAAAGAGCTGCGAGCATTCGCTCCTCAGCCCAAAAACCCCCTATCGTATATTCACCGACATATTAGATTTCAAATGAAAACACTTTAAAAATACGAAAGAAAAGACACTCGCGAATTAACAGGCATACATACGCATACACGTATGAAAACCGAACAAACACAGAAACCTACACATATGTTTTGAATCAATGCAAATATTTGAATATCACCAATTTAATAAAAACAAAACAAAATCTGAATTAAAGTAACTGGATGCAAATACACAAGTTATTACGGGCATGTGGCGTCAAATTTAAAGTTACGGCAATTAACAGGAGCACAACAAAATTCCCCTGGGGCGTTCTAGCATAAGTGGAGTTTGGGGCTCCCGGTCCGGGCTAGTCTCCCCCGCGACGGTGTTCTATCTATCGGCAAGCGTACCGCACAGCACATCTCCATGACGAACATGCCGTCCAAACTAGGCCGTTACGGTCGAAAACTGTTGGTTGGATGTCAAGGCTGACAGCGTCACATCGTCCAGACCGTTCCCACCGACTCTACACAAAGCCTGCACCCCTTGTGCAGATGGCGCGATAAATTCCGCTAGCCGCCACTAGGAGCCGCGCCCCATGTTTCTACTACGTGTTTCGGTGTTATTCAACCTCAATTCCATTTTTAAATGTTCAATTTCTTTTAACTCTGATATTGGCGACAACTGAATAAGTGTTAACATTTCAAAAGAGCAATAAACAACATTTAAATTCGCCATACAATCTTGTGAAATTTTAAACAACAAATAATTCTTATGTGAGATTAAAATTGGACATTAGATAATTTATACGATGGAAACATTCATCGACAAAATATTTACAAAACAAAACTCAGCAAAGATTTATAAAACAAAAGATCTGGTCTGAAATAAACTTGTGCAAATAAAATTATTATGCGAGGTTAAAACTGCAAAGCATGGAAATTTACGTTCAATTAAAATTATAAAACAAAGAAAATTTACTGAGGTTAACACTGAGATTGAGAAATATTTGTATGAGGTGAAAAATTGCAAAGTTAACAAAATTTACATGAGATTAATACTTGCCACACTCTATCAACGATTCAAACAAAGGGTTTACATTATGTTAAGTTATATCATGATCTAAGTGATTGGTTACTTAAAAAAAACAATTTACTTTGAGAGTTTACCATACTGCGAACTGGTTACCCCAACAAAACATATAATAAATAAACACAAAAATATCCAGTCATCGTTGCGAGGAAAAAGCGTCTAAGTGATGTAATTTTTTATCGTTGTGAGAAAATGCCTCGATGATGTAAAATTTTAGTGTTGCGAGTAAATACCTCGATGGTGTTATCAATCTCTAGCATTGCGACGGCATGCCTCGATGAAGTAATCAATCCTTAGCGTTGTGAGGGCATGCCCCGGTAATGTAATCATAATAACGGTGATTACCGCCGAAATGAAGAAACTATTTTAACCCCCCGTCAGTTCGCGGTATGAATTTTGTTAGTTTAACTGCCGTAAATGAACTATAAGCAATCTTATGTGAAGAATTAAAAAGTGTTATAATGTAACACTTACGTAAATGCATCCAGAAACTTATTCGTAATTAAACAACAAAGGTGTTATCCTGACTAAGTGAATTTCATGAAATCTTCTAGCAAGTGGTTTATTTAAATAATCCTGATTGTTAAACTGTGTTAGCATCAGCTGACGATTAAGAAAAACTAACTTGATTGGTGAATTTACAAACAATAAAACAAATTTACAGCGCGTGTTCCGCGTTGAAAGTTCGCATGTTTTTTCGATTAAAAGCCGCAAGAATTAGCTACACGGGTTGGGGGAAAACTGTGTCTTCATAGGAGTTATGATTGATTGTCGTTAAACAAAGGCTTCCTCCCTTTTATTAACTACCAAACCAACTAAACTAACCAAAACTACCTTACCACGTGATTACACTCACAAAAACACATCCAGACTGACCCTTTGGCATGCTGCCCTCGGTCAAACAACCAACCCTCTAACTAAAATCCCCCTAGCGCTACTAACTGTCCAAATATCCAACAAGCGCTACCATGCACCTGGTTGCCTATCTTTAACGAGTTATGATTTGAATTTTTTTTCAAATTCAAATTATTCAAATGTGATTTCGCGCCGCTGTTAATTCGCGCGAAAATTTTGATTCAAATTCGGTCACCACAACCGTGATCTATAATTTGGACTCCCGATACAGTCATATTTAATTTACCGGCACACCGTAGTATCTTGTGTATTACTATCCAGTTATTTTAATGACGATTTCTCTTTTTTCTTTGCTTGTTTAAATTTGCGATATTCAGATATTTGTATCGATTTGTCACATTGGGTTCATTTGGTAACATTTAGAGAAGATTTTACATCTTGATTTGTGGTTACTTTTCCAACCCCAGGATTCACCATTTTACATTTCGCCATAAAAAAAAACACAACGTGTGGGTGCTGACGATCAAATTTTGAATTTTCGCAGTTTTACAATTTTGTCCACATTTAATTTTGGCGGGATTCTGAGTTATCACAATGGAATGTAGTACGTAGTGCTTGATGGTGAATTTTTTATTTCCACTCTTGAAATTTCGAAACAAAAAAAGCCAGTTCTGTTGTACTAAAATAAAAGTTGTTATAAGTGCCGTGCCCTCTAAATCAAATCAGTAACTAAAAGTAACTGCTTAAGTAGTATTTGACACTTTTTTTGACATCAAAGTGGGACAGCAGTACCAACCAAAACTTGATAGATAACGCTAACTTGAATTCCTTTTATTTTCGTAATAAGCTAAAAAGAAAAGAAATACAGAAATTGTCGACGCGTTTCGCTAACACGTAACCTCAACCTCAAGAATTTTGTAGTTTTGGTGTTGTAGGGGTAATAAACGTTGTTCCAAATAATGAAATTTGCAAGTTATATCGATCATTTCCTACAAAATAAATTCAAATAAAGATACACAGGTTATTTATTTTTATTAAATTTGAGCAAGAGATCAGACTGTAGTTTGTTTACAATTAATGTGTGGCGGCACAATAACACGTTAGTAACCTCGTGCTCTAGTGGTCAGGATACATGCCCGGCAAGCGAGAGGCCTGTGGTTTGATTCCCATCGAGGCAACAACATTTTTCTTCGCTTACTTTCAAATGCTATGAAAGCAGTGCTAATGACATGGAGCTTTTAGGCAGACTATTGTAAGGATGAACATTTTTAATTTCTCCTGGTCGTCATACTGTGTGTACCGAAAACTTTTTGAGTTGTAGTAAGCTATAACAGATCCTGCTCAGTTGGGATCACTGATTTGAAAATAACATTATGTGAATCCCAAACATGTTTGTTTATCAAAGGAGTCAGACTCAGATCCAGTTTTTTATTTGTCGGTCTCACTTTGTCCTTTGATGTGGTCGTTTCTTACTGCTGTGTATATTTTAAAGTTAGTTAGACCGAACATTCCTCACCACTGAAGCACACTCGAATGTATACAGTTTCTTAGATAAATTATGAATGTTTATTGCGCCCAAAAAATTCAAGCCGCAACCAGAAGTGCAATTTCAAAACCATGTTTGATATTCAAACCGTGTAAAATAAAAAAACACACTTATGGACTTTTTTCTTTGGTACAATTTCTTATTAGGTAGAATCCAAAGATTTTTGTTTCAAATGAAAGCGACATCTTTACACATTTTATATATTTTCAAAGTGGGTACTGCATTATTACACCATTCACAAAATAAAGGTAAGTAGATTTAGTCAGACCTGAATGTCGTTACTGAATCATGTTTTTATTTAAAATTTATTTAAATTAAGTATTAAAAAAATCGAAATGTACTGTACCTTTTCAAATATCGATTGGGGAACTGCGTAACAGGCGCTTAACATACAAAAACCAGCAATAACAATTCGTTTCACCTTTTTAGTTTCTTAGCAGTCAAATAAGAGCAATATTGACTACAGCGTTTATAAAATCAGATAAAAAAGGAAATTAGGAGTTGTAGTAAAAGCAAATACCGTCCACAATACAGTTTATTTAACAAATTAAATTACTAGTGTAAAGTGAAATACGTAATAACATTCATGTTAACGGCGACACCTCTCGTCACCAAACACTCCAGTCTTTAAATAATAATAATAATAATAGGACCATCATAAATTTTAAAATACATAACAATAATTAATATATTAGATAATATGATAACTCCTACACGAAAATTAAAATTAATCATTTAAATATGTATTTACAACGGAATAAGGGCCATTTCATACGTGATAATTTTATTGGATGTTAGGTAGGTCATAAACGAATGGGATAAATAATAGCACAAGCCTTGACACTAAAACTACCGATTTTTTTCTAAACACGGGACAGCCCTTCTCGTGACTTAATATAAAAGATTGATTACCCAAAATATAATCAATATGGAATAAAATCAGCCAAAAATAAAAATCATTATTGTTCCGTCGTTTGTTGGAATCTTTGTAATCTGCGTCTCCTCAATTCTTCTTCCGAAGATAAAGCAACTGGTGGTTCCGTTGTTGTCGAAGTCGTATTCTCATTTGACGTACTAGCACTAGCTACAGAGTCACTTTCAGTGTTATTATTAATCACTGAACTAGTTGGCAGATTTATTGGCGATTTTGGAGCGGCTCCATTGCAGGTAGGAGAACTACCACCAGAGGTTGAGGGGCCTGGCTGAGGCTCATTTTGGGGCGTTTGCATGGACATTGCTGCGGCTGCGCTGTACTGCTGCATCATCACCACAGCGGCATCCAGCATAATCTAGAAAAACATCAACTTGACGTTCTGCGCGATAATGTTAAAATGCATGCAAGGTTCCGAAAATTACTCGTTTAAAAAATCCAACAGACAGTCTGCGCTTGCGTGAAATTAAATCGCCAAACGAAAACAATTTTAATAACGACATTATAATTTAAATAAATTGTACTATCAACAAATATTTAATATGATTTTAAAATACGTTACTTTATCAGGTGTGACGATTTTCAAGCGATTCTATGATGTTTAACACACACAAAAAATTGATCGAAAGTTATTGCGACAGAACTTCCCTCGGTTTTGAAGTACGGTCCAATAAATACTGCTTCTCTGAAAATTTATAAAATTTGATTTTGCGGAATTTTACTTTTTCGTGAGAACCTCTATGGAGTAAAAACAATATAGAAGGTACTAGGAACAGTGTAACAGAAAAAAGAAGGCTTCATCTTCTTAAAAAAAGACAAGTTGGGAACCCCAAGAAGGTTTAATATTAAAAAAAAGACACTTGGGACCCCAGAGAACTTTTCGCCTTCTTTAAAAAACGGCAGTTGGTACCCCCGAGAAGGTTTCACATTGTTAAAAAATACATTTGGGGGCCCCGAGGTCTTACTTTTTAAAAAAAAGACAGTTGGTACCCCCGAGAAGGTTTCACATTAAAAAAAAGACATTTAGCGCCCCCGAGAAGGTTTCACATTCTTAAAAAAAGACAATTGGGATCCCCGAGAAGGCTTAACATTCTTAAAAAAGACATTGGCGCCCTAGAGGGTTTACATTTTTAAAAAAGGCAGTTGGGAGCCCCCAAAAGGTTTCATATTCTTAAAAAAAGACACTTGGGACCTCCGAAAAGGTTTTACAATTAAAAAAAAAAGATAATTGGCGTCCCCCAGAAGGTGTTACATTTTTTAAATAAAGAGAGGCGTATTCTCATCTTTTTGAGAAAGTGAAATTTCATCAATAAAAAATTTGTTATGTGATAAACATAGATAATACACAATGCCAGAGAAAACGAGAGAAAAAAAAACAAAAACGAAAGGCCAAGTTTGGAATCGAACGCGCGACGTCCAGGCCGCATTCCTGACTCGTAACAACTAGACCATGACCGGGATCCCTTCCGCAAATGGTAAACTATTTTTATACCTTGTATTCTGTTTTTGCAAAAATTGGTCAGTTAGGGAAAAACTCAGAAAAATTATAGTTAGCATTTAACCATCTATTTCTTTATATTTCTAATATACATACCAAATTTGACAACAATCGATCCAGCAGTTTCAGAGATTACGTGTCCAATAAAAATAGATACAGACACGAGACAGACAGACAGACAGACAGACGGAAATGGGAGACTATTTTTTTCGTACATGAAACGTCGAGAAAATATAAAAGTGGCTATTCGTCCGATGGAGTTGATTACTCTACTTCCTTAGCTTACGCTCGGGAAGTAAAAAGAAAAAACAGAAGACAATAGTACTTCTTTAAGATATTTTCTTTTCCATTTAAAGTAAATACTGCCTGAGAAATAGACCCCTTCGCATAGTGGCAGTTTATCACATGGTTACTGAGAATTACATTTGTTTTTCTTAAATAATAAATATCGAAAAAAGCTTCAAATTTTAGAATTTGGGTTATTTAAATATTTCATGCAACACCTACACACAACAATATAATGGCAGTAGTCTTATATTGAGAAACTGTAGGGCAATAAAGTTATTATTATTATTGTTATAAATACATAAAGAACAAATATAAAGTTTGAGGGTCTCGGACGAAAGTCGAGCGCCTCTAGCCGACCCTGACAATATTTATGGTATGGTGTAAATGTGATATATATGGTAATTTGGAATATTTATAAGCAATGTTGGTAAAAGTAAAAAAAAACTGTTTATATTTCGAGTTCAAGGATGAATTACGACACACAGAGACATTCAGTTTGGGGGTGTTTTTGCACGAGTGCCATTGTCGTAAATATTTGTTGTAAGATTTCAAAACAACACAATTTTTAACTTTTCCGACAAAGTTTGGTAAACATATTTACACCAAAATTATTTTATTACAATAAACAAGAAAATTATAAAAAAAGACTGTTTGCAAACATTTTAAGCAATCCACTTACATTCTCCCGAGATATCTCGCTTTGTTAGTAAAAAACCCATTTCCCTTATCTATAATTATTTGAACAAATTAAGTCAACATAAGCATACCTGAATATTCCGCAAACATTGTATCCTCGCCTCCACATTCTGGCGTTCATTCCCCTCCATCCTCCTCAGCTCCTCTGGCGACAGCGACCTTAAGTTCGGTGGCGGCATGGGCGGCGGTGCCATGAAAGGCATGAAAGGAAACGGTGGGAAAACCAGCGGAGGAATGGTAGGAGTAGGCTGTTGGGGGGTCGTGCCGGCTTGAGCGGGAGCTGCTCCAGCCGCAGGCGGCTGTGGTGGAGCTTGAGGCTGCTGTTGGTTATTCTGCCCAAACATCTGAAACGGATTGGGCCCTCCAAAGGGATTAAAGAACGGATTCTGAGGGTTAATCGGCACTTGTCGGTGCCTCTGGTCAGGTCTGGGCTCGTTATTGTTAGTGGTAGGTGTTCGCAGAATATTCAAACGGCAAGTTGGACACGTCTGCTGTCGCTGGAACCACGACCGAAGACAAGAAGTGTGGAAAATGTGGTTACAGGGGAGTTTCTTTGATGCTGTTGTCATTTCCTCGCGACATATAATGCACACGTTATCAGCTGCCTGCAATTCTTCAGGGGTTGCGTCAGGGTACAACGTGTTCATGTTGTGAATGGCGCGACGTGACAGGATGACGTCACTGAAGGCTTTTTTGAAGTTGCGTATTGTATAGTACATTGGTCGAAACGCGAATAGGGGCAGAGTGTAGATTCTGACCATTATGGCAACGAAAGCGACGTAAAGGATGACTTTTATGAAACCCATTATTAATTCTGTGTATAGTAAGAATACAGCTTTGTTGTCCCAAGGGGTTTCGCTGTTCAGGTCCACTGAGTGTAACGCGTATTTTATGGCGATGTTTATGACGACGGTGAGGAGGATGGCGTACTCGAAGCCGAATACTAGCTGCACGGACGCCCCCTTTGATACCGTCGATTGATACGCGTGTTGGATGAAGTGTAAGTCTAGTGACCCTAGCAGGAGTAAAAGACTGAGGACTCTTATGTGAAAGAGGAGACTAATAACAGGGCTCCTTTCCATCTGCAAACATCGTGTTTAAAATAAAATCAACCATAACGGTGTACTCACATAATCCACCCTGTCTTCCGCTAACCAATGAAAAGACTTAAGAAAGAGAAGTAAGGTGAATAATGCTACAAACTTAGGGTTAAAATCATCCCTAAACACGGTAAATGCTAGACAGGTTTCTGTTATAGCATACCATGACCGTTCCATCAAATGCTGAAACGACAACTTTAAAATACTAATTAATTTGACTATGATTATTATACCTCAAACTCAGCTGACCTCAGCTGGCCAAAGAAGATTTTCCTCATTATTTTTCCCACGATCAAGACGCATATAAACGCCTGAATATATATAACCTAGAAAGACATTATGCAATACCATTTCACTATTACTACATTATACTCACAGCCATACTAGGGTTTGATTTTGTTATATATACAACCGAGGGATAAAACTGTTTTTTCTGATAGTATGCATTTGCTATCACAACTGTGGTTAAGGTGAGACTCAAAAGTGATATCCCTAGGGACCTCATGGCTTTTTGTTTCTCTTAATTACACTGAACACATGATATACTAGACAAAAATATGGGACAATTTGAAAATATTGGTTTTACTACGTGTTTTCACCTCATATGTTGATTTTTTTACAATTTGACAGTTGATACAAGTGGACGTCGACAAACGTCAAACTGCGCAGTCGCAGTGCCACAGCGTTGCCAAGTGGAACGCATTCATTGTTAACACTTTTTATCAAAATGTTCCTATTTTTAGCCCCCGGTCCCACAAATAAATTGTAAATGCACTCCTTGACCTTCAGAGGTCACAATTTTTGTTTCCTACAAAGGTCAGAATGGGATCTTCCTAATTATAACTCACCGATTCGGTATGTTAAATTTACAAAAAATATGAACACGACTGACTTATAGACGATTTTATTCGCAAAGAACATAAAAAAAATCAATATATAAAAAATATCTAAACACACTTATATGTTACTTTGTAGTGGAGTTTTCAGCACCCTGAGAGGCGTACCACGCTCCACCCCCACAGGGGTACGGCAAAGCCGTTTAGGGGACTTCACGTTAAGAGATTTCTTGATGTGAGGAGGAACTCTAGGAGTTGAATATTTCGGAGAGGAAAACTTCTGATTCTCAACATTGTTCTCCCTTAAATGTAGAATCCTCTTCTTCTCCACAGTGTTAAAATTATCTGGAATATTCTCCTTATCACTGTTTCCTTCACCACTAGAGTTGAAATATTGTTTAGCGATTTGTAATTTGTGTTTTTGCGATAAATGCCCGTTACGTCTTCTCGGCGACATACTTTTCTTGCCAATCCTCCTCTCCTCATACTTCAGACTTCTCACCCTATAAGAAAGTCTTGAGTCAATATTGCGCGAAGAACCAATTTTTGTGCCCACTTTAGCGCGCGGCAAACTTCTGGTGAAACTGTTAGAACTCTCTGAGTCCGACATTTTATCAAATAATTTTGCTTTCGCTAGCACCATTCCGGCGTTTTGGTTCCTCAAGCGCGCTAGTGAGGCTCTACCATTACCGTTACTTGAATCATTGCCAGACTTCAAAGTCGTAAAAAAGCCCTCGGCACTGACCCATGTATCGCTCGAGCTACCTGACAAATTACAAGACACATTTTTCACTTTTTGCTCTCCTACAGACGAGGACCGCGCTCTAATTTCTTTATTTTCTAAAACTTCGTCCTCAATTTTGTTAGCGGGCAGGCCGTTTGAAACTGTATTAGGTTTACCCCTTTTCAGACTAACCCTCGGTATAGACCCCCTAGAAACCACATGCCACGACTGGTGCCTCGTTATCTTGACGTTGTTTTTTTCAAGTTCTTTCGATTTTCGCCTCATGCTTCCAATTTTGCGCGCACTCGGAGATCGGATTATCTTCTGCTCCGCGCTTCGTCGTATTTTCAGTTCTCGGCTCAATCTTCTCGCTAATTGATCAGTGGTGGGGCTTAATTGCGCCGACTGTACTAAAGTTTGTTCATATACCGTCTGTACGTTTTGTATATTAACGTCAACTTCTTCGTTAGTGTTGTTTTCGTTTTCTGTTTTAATTTGAGATTGCACATTTTCTAATTCCATTGAGATTCGTCGCTCCATCGCAGAGACACGATTTTTGATAGCTTCATACTCTATTTTTGACACTCTGATATAATCAGGCTCTTCGGGGTTTGTGGCGTCTTTTTGGGACGTTGCTGCGAAAGAATTTCTTTTTTTCGCTTTCTTGATGTGATTTGAGGGATTAATAGCCGACCATCGGCGTTCCAGGACAGCTTTTGTGTTCGCGCTTTTTTTACAAGCTTCAGTTTCTTGTTTTAAGTTTTTCAAACTGCGACTTCTTGAAAACCATTGTGATTTCTTCAGTTTGATTCTATTGACGTCAAGTAGTTAACAGTTTTTTGAATAGTGTAATAATAATAATACTTACAGTTCATTTGAGTCTTTCAAATGGTTTCCTTGCGCACCACTGAAATGAGGTACAATTAATGAAAAATGGAAACACGAATTGCAAAAAATTACCTCAAATTCATGCTAACTGGAGTGCGACAAGGTGTAAATGGAGTATTTAGCAACACATTTTCAGGCAGCTGATTCAGCAACTCTTTTCTATAAATTACAATATTAAAATTGTGACTAACAAACCAAAAACTATTATACTTCTTTTTGTTTGAAATTCCGTTTGAGTGGAGCCGCCGTTTCTTCACAACATTGTTGTTTATAGGAGTGAGTAACAGATCTGGCGTTACTACAGTATGGTTTTCTTCAAGAGATTTCCCACCTACGATTTTCTTGAGGCCGTTAAACATCCCTGATGAGAAAAACAACTTAATTCTATTGCAAAAACATGCCCAAAGCTGTACAAAATTTATTATCTTTTGCAACAAAATAGTTTCATGAAAAATTGATTTGATTTGTTACTTGTTAAAGATCCACTGCGGCGTTTTTTCTTTTTTCCATCCTCAGCAGAAGTAGTGGCGCCCACACGCTCAACTATGCGTTCGGGTAAAACCCCAACGTCAAATGCGTTCTCTATCAGTTTCTATGAAAGCAAAACATGAATTTTTGATTAATTTGAATTCCAGTTAGTTACCTGCACGATTTCACATACTTTTGTTGTTCTTAGCTGTATAGTGGTAGGTGATAATTTATCATCAACAGGAAAAATAGCAGGGCTGATCACCACTGCAAGGTTGTAAGCATTCATTTTATTTTTATTGGAGTTTTCGGCGACTGCATTTAAAAACTACAAACGACAGTTCAAAAATATAATTTCTAAACAGTAACTTTACCTGTAGCAAATAGGCCAAAGTGTTAAGATGTACTATCGGCAAAAGAAGGCACGCCAGTAGCAAAGCTTCAGTCTCAGACTCACCAACGTCTTCTAAAGTACATCGGAGAAAAAGTTCGTGATGAGTGGTGGGTATAACGGGCTCCGGCATCTCTCTTAAAAACGTTTTCAAAAGAGCAGCAAGATCAATAACTTGAACGTTCCGGTCGAAACTCCCGCCTCCTTCAATTACTGACTTGAAACAAAATTTCAAATTATGTTTCCTTTCACATTTAAACAATTACCTTCATTTCGCCTTGTCGAGCTTTAGACCCTTCTTTTCTAAATAACCCCTCAGTAGTAACTTTGGTTAAAATAAACGAACACATTTGATGGATTAGTTTGGGGATAGCAATTTGCTGGCCGGTTTTTAAAGTGACTATTTCTGTCGGAAGAGCCCCTAGAGGCGCTTTAAAAGTCTTCGCAGTAGATTTAACATCCTGAAATCATGTTCGTTTACAAACAAAATTCGAAACAGTACGCATAACCTCACTGGTTTGGCTTTCCTGATTCTGGTTTTAACTTTTAGTCTTTGGAGTTCTTGTAAAGCTTCCTTTCTACATGCTTCCTTTTTAAGCACGTCACTCAAAAACATGATGCACAGTGTTTACTTTTTGATTAATTTTAACTTAAAAATTTGGGCATTTCGGCGAACCTGAAAAGGCTGCCACATTTAAAATTTTGTTGACAGCGCATGCGTGATTTGAGGATACGGGGTTTTTCATTGGTAGGCTGTGCGCGCCAGAATTTGCAAGTTTGAAGTGTAACCGTCGCTCGACTGGTTGAAACAAGCGCAATCACATCGGGTTTGAGATAAAAGGTTATCAATAATTTCCGGGTTCTGACTGTTACGAAACGAGTATGAATGGAAATAACGAAATTTTGAAAAGATTATCTTGAGTAAATTTAGATACATCCGTACGAAGTTAGAGTAAAGAATTTTCGTAACACTACTATTTAACTATTTTTTTATTTATTTTTCAAACTAAATAAATTTGTATACATTTTAACTATTTTCTGGCTAGAATAAAATTCTAGCATTCGCTTTTGCAGTTTCAAAGTTAAATATACTGTGGTTAAATTGTACAGTGTTATACAATTTTGATTTTTTCCCGAAAACTGAACGTCTAGGATAAAAAATCAAATCCGGTTCATAAACTACAAGTGTAGAAGTATGTATGTTATTTTATAAAATTAATAACATGTAACATTTACTATGCAAAATTTTGAAGTGACCTCATCATATTGTTGGCGGGGATGATAAAACAAATCGGTTAGCGTTTTACGATATTCCTAACATACCATGCAATTTTATAACAATCGGTCCGGTAGTTTCGGAGATTAATTATCTAATAAAAAAAATATTTGCTCTGTGACCATCAATAATTTGAAAACAAATCAACCTGAAATCTTATTATCATGTGCTAATTTTGAACTATACAATGTGCCATACTTATTACTTTTATTTATTTTTTTAATGATAACCCGAATGCGTTGAAATTAAAAACCACACCGAATAAAGTGAGTTTTTAAAAAATTTTAAGATGATGTCATCCAGTTATCGGACAGGGTGGATGACGGTTGGAGCGATAGATTTTGGTTAGCTTTTTACTTAAAAAAGTGTAATACAGATTTTTTGTAAACCTGTCCATTGCCAAAAAAATTCAAGAAAATTGGGAACGTCACATCGTAATTTAAAAAAAAAAGGAGAGTGTGGTTGTAAAGCCTAAGAAAAGGTCTGTCAAAATAAAATATGTAAAGATATGTAGATGGTTCATAAAAAAAACGCGTTAAAAACAACACTGCATGGTCGAAAACAATTTTAGAATATAGCCCGTACAACTTTGGTCTTTAGTTTTTTTTTCTAGTTCTATTTTCTTGTAATAATTTTAGGTCCCTCTAGTGTTTAACTTTTGACATAATTTAAAATAATCCTGGGGTGCTGGGTGTTACTTTTAAGCAAGAATTTGAAAGAATTTTGGGAACCCTAGTGATTTTTCTTGTAGTAATTTAAAGAAATCTGGTGTTTAATTAAAAAAAACTCGGAGTCTCTTGGTGTGTTCTGTTTTTGGAAGAACTTGAAAAAATCTTTTAAATCTGTGGTGTTTTATTTTGTTATGGATTTAAAGGAACTTTGGAGCATTTGGTGTTTAATTTTTTGGAAGAATTTGAAAGAATCTTCGGTTCCCGGGGTGTCTCATTTTAAAATAATGTAAAGAATCCTGGGGTACCATGTATTTTTTCTTTTTGAACGAATTTTAGAACTGCCAGTATTTATTTTTTGGTGCCTCTTTTTGAAATAATTTTAAAAATCTCGGGGTACCAGTTTTTTTTTAAGAATTTTGCAGCTGCCAGTGTTTTTTGGAATACATACTTTAAAGAATGTCAGTATTTAATTTTTGTACAATTTCTGGACAAACTTGAAGAATTTTGGAGCTGACAATGTTTTTGTTTGTAATAATTTAAAGAATGTTAAACAGGGTTTAATTTTTTGTATTCAAAAGAATTTTGGGGGACTTTGGTGTTCCATTTTTGGAAATATTCGCAATTATTCGGGGAACTTCTGCTGAGCTGTTTTTGAGTTAATTTTGGGACCTCGTTTTTTTTTTTTTAATTTAAAACAATCTTGAGGTTCTAGGTATTCCTGTTTGGAACGAATTTGAAAGTGCTTTGGAGCCCCTAGTGTCTTTTCTTATAATAATTTAATTAATTAAATTTCTTAGAGGATACATCATTTGCCAAAATCAGTCTTAACAGGCACGAGCCCCGCCCACCCACCCTCACTTTTCTTAGAGGGTATGCCATTTGCCAAAATTTTAGCAGGCAAATTAACGTACGTCTGAAATTTGTTATTTTTAAAATTACCCATCTACTGAAATCTAATAAATGGAAATAATTTTGAAGTACCTAATATAACTTTTACAATATTAGTGAGATGAAACATCTTGATCCGATTTATAGAAAGCGAATTAAAAGTTAATCGCGAGTAGCTTTTAAATGAGGTCCGTTGCTATGCAAGGTGCATGTTCTAACCAATCACGGGCTGATATTCTACATTTTAATCCTGTGTTAAATTGATCAAGGATTAAATATTTAATTCGCTTTCCATAAACCGGCCCCTTATGTATTTAGTCAAGCTTCAAATTTTTTAGATTAATAATAATAAATCAGCTATTTACAATTACAGTAAAAACGCAGTTTAATTTTAATTTCGATAATTTCCATCACACAATATTTTCTTATTAAGTATACATTTTTAAAAATGTGTTTACATTTCCATATTATTTTTCGTTTTTGCAATAATTTTATGCACAATAATCATAACTCGAAGTTCTTCGATTTTTCGTTGTGCGCATCGTAATGTGTATCCAAGCAACTGCCTAAAAACATATACAGTGTGTTGAATGTAGCTGATCACTACCATTGTGCTTAAGAAGTATGACCCTATGTTTAGGCCCTACCGGTGCCGGTAAAACTCTGTTGTTGAAGAAGCTCCAAAACATCGAAAATGTGGACACCACTGCGACTTCAGTGCCAACTGTAGGCACAAACATGTTCGCTATCAAAATCGATACTGAAGTACACCAAATTCGAGAACTCGGTGGAATAATGTCGCCCCTTTGGTCCAGGTACTTCGAAGGAATCCAAAAAATTATGTACGTCGTGGATGCATCAAATCTGTGTCAAATTAGTGCGGCCGGAGTACTCTTTTACACAATTATTGCCAATCCGATGCTCGCAAATGCCAAAGTAACGTACTATTCGGATCGATTTTAATGAAAATAATTAGAGCGTGGTTCCAGTTCCTCTTGGTGTTAACAAAAATGGATGTGAGCTATAGACAGATGCGCAATGAAGCCTTGCTAATGTTACAGATGCGGAGGTTTGAAAAGGAAATTCAACAAAAAATAACAATAACCGAGGCAAGTGCGATTAGCGGGGAAGGAAGAGAGGAAATACTCAACTGGATAAAAAAGAAGTGACATTTTTCGACACTTTCACTTGGACCAATAGTGGTCTTTTTATGGACACTTTCAGTTTCAAAAAACAATTTAACACTTGGCTGGTTGCCATAAGCTTTCAATTTCAACCCATATATAAATATTAGCCGCTGTATTTACCCAGTATCAGTTAATTTTAGACACAATAGCAAAATGTTCTCTCTTAAGGTATGCTTTGTGGTGTAGTGTGATAATGTCTAATGTTTGTTCTCGCTTTAGGCTATCGTTTTCGTTGTCGCTATCTTCCAACTAGCTCAAGTGAACTCCATTCCTGTCTATGATGACCTAGAGGGCGCTGCTTCCGAGCATGGTGAGTTTTCACGTTTTAGAAAATATGTATTTAATAATCCGTGTTTTGAAGATTACGCTCGTGTACAAATTAAAGTTTTCCGAGGCCCTTCTGAAGGTCATGATTATTTTGCACCTTGGGGATACTGGGTGAAACAACCTGCCGACGACCACCACCACTAATAACTTAATTCTTTGTTACTTTTTTATGGTTATTTTTATGTTTGTTGAGTTTGTTTCATAAATAAAAAAAAGCTGAAATTTTGTTGTTTCATTAAGACACGGAATTTAACTTGAGATATATATATTTCGTATAACTTTTAAGTACATAATATGTGATGCAACTATAACACTTGCATAAAATGTACCTTTAACAATATCATTACATAAAAAAAAGTCACAAGCTCGATTCAAGGCAATGGAAGGACGGAATTTTCTTTTACGATATTCGATTCGAAAGACAAAGAAAGGCCTCTAATGAATTGTTTATAAAAGTGTAAAATATAGTCTACAAACAGTATTCTTCACATCTTAAAGGTACTAAGAAGTAATATATACATTATTTAAAAAATAGTTGCTCTAAAATGATTTTGCCACAATAACAGGAAATAAAAATTTTCATTTTAATACTCTGCTGCAGCTATAAATTCGAATTTGCAGAACTTGGTTCTGTTAAGACACTTGACCACTATACCAACATTTGGACAAAATGCTTAGATTACAATAACTAAAATACTGAATAGAATAACAATAATATTCCTTAAAATTATAAAATGTGTAATTGATAAAATATAATAAAATGGATTTATTACTCATAGAACACATAACATAATGGAATGAGACATATGTATTCAAGATAAAAACGGAATGTTTTCTTAAGTCTTATAGTATTCATTTAAGTACTTTCTTCAACAAATTAAAAACACATCAACCCTTTGACTTGCATCTTATTGGTACTCTTTCTTGGTTCTATTTTATTATAAGTACAATGTTAATTACTACCAAAGGCACTAATTCAAGCAGCAGTCATTTGAACATACAAGATTTAAGTCTTCACTTCATAACTCTGTCAATGAACCAAAAAACAATACTTCCCTTTTCAATTACTATCCAGTTAGCAGTGATACTTCTGTTGATATGTTACCTGTATGGTTTTGTTCATAATACTATGTGGATCAAGGCCCACAGTCTTACAGCCAACGGAAGAAAGAAGTTCACCTTAAAAACTAAAGATGCAAAATCCCATCCTCAGAACTGTGGCTCTCATTTAAGTTTGGAGCTGCTGTCAAATCCACGATTTCGTCCTGATCGTCAGGATCTGAACCCCCAGTGGTGTGTGACTGGTGTGAACCACTCGAAACCTGGGAATTTCGACTGAAGCTGCCGCGACGTACAGGTGCCACAGTTCTCTGATTGGCCGGTTTTACAGTTATTATGAGGTTTGAACTGTTGGCGACCATCATATCCGTCACCTGGTCTAGCGTTTTTCCAGCCACTTCGATACCATTCACTTCCAGAACTTCATCGTTTACAGCTAAAAGTCCTGTGGATTCTGCGAGACCTCCAGGCACTAAGCGTGATATAAAAATACCCGGGATCTTTTCTAAACCTAAAAATTATACTTTCACAAACACAAAATTAATAAATATTTTGATACTTACCGCTCTGCGTGACACGGACGCTAGTTCCATCCCTAATATAGAACCCAAGTGGTTTATCAGACCCATGTTTCAGTAACCGCACCCGTCTGCACGTTTCAGGTACAATATCAACATCAATAATAGATGACACCTGTCGGAAATCGTGGGGGTTTGAAATGGCCAAAGTTTTTGTCCGGCCTGGGGTTCCCCCTAAAATGCTTGATATTAAATTACGGGGTTTGATTGTCCCGTAACCGTTCAACTCCTCCAAACTATCACCTAATGGCAAACTTTGATAAAGACACCATGGTAAAAAAATCAACAATAATACCTTTTCTTTGTATTATTACCCTCAACAAGGGTTTAGCATTGACCAGTGCTCGCCTTAGGTTATCATCATTGTTAATAGGTAGCAAGTCTTGGTCACTTGGGTCAATATACGAAACTAAAAAAGCAATGTCCCGTAGTCGATGTAGGCGCTCTAATAAAGCACGGAACTCTTCAAATTTTGCCTGGGGATCTCGCTCCACAGAAAATCGTCGAAATTCTGCATCAAACTGGAAGAAAACAATTAAATAATGATGCGTATTAAATGATTCATGCTCTCATTCCTTAAGAGGCATAGAAAGTCATAATTATTATTCCTATTACGGTAAACAAAGAACTTGCTTAATTATTGCAGCTAAGAACCTATTAAACCGTATTTTTAAAAAATACTTACTTTGGACTTGACTTCTATTTTATTATGGATAACACTACCCTTAATATCAATTTTATTTTTAGACATTTCGTATATTACACTGCTTGATCACTTACAACACATCCAATTATAATTTGTAACAAATAAAACAACTAAACTAACTCAAAAACGTATTATATTAGACAAAATTTTAATTTATTTACGTTTATTCTTCATCCTCTTGCTGGCCAGACAGTTATGGAATGGTGACTTTAGTCATCGAAAACAGAATTGCCAACATCCGTTTAAAGCAAGCCCCTCCTTTGGTAAATTCGTGAATTAGTCCAAAATAACGCATTTGTACAACAGTTTTACAGTATTTTATAATTTGAATAACTCCTGCAATATTTTAATTCAATTTACATGGTTTAATCAACAGCAAATCCCTTAAATAATCAAATGGGAAGTTCAAACTACAGATAAAATGTTCCTAAACTCTTAAAAAAATCCCTATATCTACTTTGACATTTGACATGTGTTTAACATAACCTTATTTGAGTTTTTCTCCGTGTTATCTTCGTTAAGTCAAAAATATGAAAAATAAAGATGCGGAGACACTGAATCCTTGCTTAAAAGAGCAAGAACAAACCTATAAATGTTTCCATGAAAATAATTTCGACAAAGACGCTTGTCAACTACACATAGAAAATTATAAAACGTGTAAAGCCTTTTGGGTATGATATAAGATACTTAAAATTTAACTGATTGTTAGAGTATTTATGATTTAGAATAGTGTTAGATCAGACAGAAGACGGAAAGGTATATATCCACTACTCCCTCCTGTAGAAGAACGAGAACATATTAAAAAGGAGTATCTCCAAGCGAAATAATTGATGTATTTAGTCTTTTATTTATTAAAAAAAAGTTACAAATGATGGTTTTATATCATAAAAATAGCCACAATGGCACTGTATAGTCTTTGTTAACTTTATTAAAAGAGTAAAATTGTACAGGCATATTGAGTATTTTGATCATCCTAACCACAATAACTTAGTAGTTTACAAATTGAGTGATTTTCACTGGGCGAATCTTTTATGAATTTTGAAAGTAATTTTCTACTCATTTTTACCGAATTTGATATGTGGATCTATTATGAAATTTCTCATTTTTACAAAAGTTGATTTTTTTTAAAGTAAATAATTATATGATCATTTGAATGAGAAATATTAAATCAAAGTTAAAATAATGAATTGTACTAGTAAATGATATACCCAAAATTGTTCTGCACCAGTAAATGATCGGTCTTGTCGTAGTAAATGATAATTCGAATTTCAGTCTAGTAACTACCAAAACTTTTAACAATATTGCAATTAAAACATATTTTTAAAAAATAAAAAAATATAAACAAAAAATTAAAGAAAAAGTTAAAAATAATTGTCAAACTTCTGTATTTCTTCCACATTAAACACTCGTCGATTATTTAGCTTCAATGGTGTTTCAATTTTTTCAACAATATCTTCTTTGTCGTACCATAAAACATTTATGGGATCCGGCCATCAATTCTTTGGCCCCCATGTTGACACCACTTTTGTACATAACATTGCCTTTGTTCTTTTGATCAACTGTGTTTAAAATTTCTCCCAGGTAGTACATGTCGTTTGTCTACCAATTTTCGTTTCTTGGAAGTACCTAATATTTGCTTCTTTTTGTTGTTGCCTTTTCGTGTAACCTCTTTCGTTCTAGTTTTTGGTTTTCTTTTATGTTCTTTTTTCCGATGGTACATCTGCCAGTCCGAAGAGCTCGCCACAGAAGGAATTTTTTCTTTGGGAAATCTTTTTTTTCCTTTTCCGGAGTTTTTGGCCAGACCAGAACCTTTTTGAAAGGCTATGGAACATAAGTTAATGTTTTGTCAGTCTTTTTTCAGGAGTTATTGGAAGAACTTAAATATTTTGATTCTCACGTTCTGTTGTCTCACTATCTATAATATCGCTACATGTGATTTCTTCAACATGCTCATCAAAATTTTGAGCATTCTCATTAAAATTACTCCTTTCAGAACTGGAATTTTGGAATCATCATCAACTGGTACAATGCGTTAATCCTCAATGGCCCATTTAATGATACCTGTCATCAACCACTGGTAATTAAGCACTGCAAGAGTACCAGTAGATGAATTAGTTTTATGGATTATAACCTAATTCTATTGAGAATTAATATATTTGAAATAATTTTTCAAACATAAAATGACATGCTAGGAGTACTAACATTAATTTGACCAACGCTTAAAGCCAAATAATAAAATTATTTTGGTACTCACTTGCTTAGTGATCTACGTAAGAGAAGCTGTGAAATTGAGACTGCCATTTCTATTTCAATAAAGATTTTACGGATTTCTGCTGTACAGTTATTTTTGGACGTTTGATCATCCACTGGGACCCTATCACTGACTGGGACTTTATGTATGTTATTAAAAATGTAGCCCTCAATTCTAATAAATGTACTTTCTATTTGTGATAATACCAAAATGGGGTTGCAAATTTTATATTCATCTTAAAGAAATAAAATTAAGCTCCAGGCTCTTATGGGATAATCAAATACAATTTTTAACTGTGTTGAGGAAGACCACATCAAAGTATTCCTGCACCCTTCTATGATAATGCGCAGAAGAAGCATTGTCCGTTTCAAGTAATAATGAAAATAAGTATTCTCATTCAACTTTTCTCTACAAAAGTAGGAGCCAATAATTTGGTTCCTGAGGATTCCACACTGAACTTGACTGATACGTGTTGCTATGGCTATTGTTCTTTGGATAATAAGAAGGTTATTATTATCAACTACTTCCATTCTGTAGGTTTTTTAAAGAGGTTGTAATTTTCTCTAGTCTTTGTATATTTGTTTGCATCCTCGGCTTGGTCAGACATTATTACGCATGAATCACCTGTATACCACCACTACTTCCTGTAGAAGAACGAAAACAAATCAAACGGGAATATCTCCAATCCAATTGATGTACATAATTTTTATTTATTTTCAAAAAAAAGTTAACAAAATGCTCTCTACAAGTGATATGGTCTTACATCATAAAAAGAATCACAATGGCACTATATGATCTTTGTTAACTTTATTAAAAAAGTAAAATTGTACAGGCAATATCTGAGTATTTTGATCATCCTAATCACAATAAATAGTTAAAAATTAATGGTGAAACTAAATATTCTTTGGATAAAGCCGAGTGCCACATTTTCAAGTGAAAGTTTTGTAAATTTTGAAAGTACGTTGTTAAAAATGTGGCCCTCAATTCTAATAATTACATTTTCTATTTGTGATGATACCAAAGTGGGGTTGCTGCAAAAATAAATAAATAAATGCATACACAACACTTGAAACGAATTTAGATATTTTCTACAGCTAGTCAATCTGACGATTTCTTTATACTAAAACAGTTGATCCTAAAGTGGTTGCACATTTGACGGACCTTAAAATCGAAGAACATATTTTTCGTCAAGTACTACAATACAAAGAACACTTACCAAATAGGTACCATAATGTATGTGAGCAGTTGTTGATAGAACACACAACGAGTATGTTAAAAACAGCTCAAGAGAGGAATTGTTTGTCAAAATAGAAACTAAAATAAAAATAGATGTAGGAACTAATAACCAGTTAAAAATGTCACATCTTGTGTTACTCATCTGTGCCACAATCAATCGACACTAAAAATACAAACTGTAAACCGCTAGTTTTCACACACTAAAAATACTTACACATATATTTGAAAAAATAGTACTGACTATAACGAAGACCGCTCTAGGATCTCGTTCTATAATGTTACTGGGTGACAATAAAATCCAAAATAAAGTCATCAAAAAGAACAAAGTAACTGGCACGAGGGGTCTTACTGCTTCGCTGAACGACCTCATGTACCCAGTCTTTGTTTTATACGAAAAGTAAACGTTGTAAAGGATTACAGGTACGTTGGTGAAAATTGCCGTGCTGTAAACAATAATTTCAAACATGAGACCTGCTGGGATTCCACCTGGTAAAAAAAACTGCCAAATTTCATGCCCCAAAACCTAAAAGCACGAGCTAACTAACGTAAACATAAACAAGTTGTGTACAAACCCCTGAAATAGTGAACGTTATGATGGTGAACCACATCGAAAAATCGTACCCCCAAGGCAAGAATAAGACACCAGTATTGTACTTTTCCCAATGGGACAAATAAAAGTTGAATATAATGTTCCACAATATGAAGAAAAATCTAAATGGAATGATGCTGTATCTCGCGCCTCGTCCGAACATGGAATATGTAGCGACTGGGATTAATCCAGCTGTGTAAGAATCAAGACCATGGTCAAACAATTCGCCCAAAGGTCCGCTGCTGCCCGTACGTCTAGCTTGCTTACCATCAATACCATCTAAACACACGCAAAATCAGTATTGCGTCGTTATATTTGTAATTTTGTACCTAAAGTATACGCTAAAAATAAAAATATAGCAGCTGCTATGTACGTCCATCTCTGTAACGAAGGGTATTCGGGATGGTCCGGGTCGGAGGCATAAAAACTGTAATCTTTCCACGTGAAGAGTAAAAAGGAAACTACGGCTAACAAAAATCCTGAGAAGGTCATCAAGTTGGGGGCAACCCATTTTGGACAAAACTGGAAAACATTTAGTTAGACTTTGAAGGGCTGATTTCTGATTTACATACTTGGACTAACCAGTTCCAAAAGGGGTGCATAACGTAAACGCTGAGGGGACCCGTATCTTTGCAACTATACTGTAACAGAAATCGGAACATGGTGATTTTGTTTACAATTTTTTGATTTTTAAATTGATTTAGAGAAATTTATAAATATATAGATTGGAAATGGCCGCGTTCCAAAAACACTCCAGCATATTTACATGGGTAACAACGTGTTAAATTTGCTACTCATCGCTCAGTGCCATATTAGATAACAAATATTTGTATGTGATTTTGAGATAAATTTATAGGTTGATGAAATCTTATTTTTCAGGGACGTTTTGACGGTTTTGTGGAGATTGAGTGAGTGAAACTTGACTGAATTTTATCACACTGTTTCGCATTTACTGACTGGAACTTTATTTAATGACGAATATACCTGGCTTAATAACGCGTAATTACACAGTATTTATGAACGTCAATGTTACACGTTACGAAGCAGGTTTATATTCTGTCATGTATAACTAACTCTACAGAAATTTAAAAAAATAAATCAACATTAGGAATAAAATGGGTATTACTGAAGCGAATCCGTCGGTTTAGAAACGAGACGTGATTTCGTTTTCTCTGGGTTTCATATTTGCCCATTATTTTACTTTAATAGATATGACATACTTAAGTTTTATAAACGTTATAACGTAAACAAGTTAAGGTATTTTTATATTTTATTACGAAGATGATTACGGTTGGTTATGTTAATGAATAATGAATTTCATTTTTATGCTGTTTAAGACAATCAATCAGTTCATAATTTCATTTTTTTTTCAACAACTATTGACTGCCATTTTTTGTTCATACTATTTTTAAATAAAATATAAATTACGCTCTTTTCTTACTCGATCGAATCTACCAAAACTGATTGTCAGAATTTATAGAAAGCGTTTATCGATTTGCTATAAAATTGACCTTCTGTTTCGATTTGTTGACCGACTTAATGCAATATCTGAGAAAATCTCATCTACTTACTTTTTAGATAGTGAAGTTTTTATGAACTCTCAAAAGGCAGCATGTGTGTTATCAAAATTGGTATGTTAGGTCGAGTAGCTATCAATCACATAAAAATATACATAGTTCTTAATTCAATGCTGTATCATAATAAAGCTTTTGAAATAATGATAAAACATAATAGACAAAAATTATGCCTTTGTTTGTTTTTAAAACTTGTCTATTTTTTAATTCTTTAATCTCCGCGTAGTAGTTATACAGATTTTTAAAAAAAAATCATCTTGAGAGGTAAATAAAAACTGTGTTATACATATTTATAACACATCAACATACAATGTTTTGATAGTTCATATATAGGTCATATTTTTAAACGGTAATGTATGTACATACACGTTTGGGTCCTAATCGAATCGAAGGTTAGCAATGACTCTATAGACGGTCCAAAGGAGATGCTTGCGAGTATGTAAGGGCTCATCAAAAAGTTTTCAGATTAGAGTTGGCAATGGAAATATTTGTCATGTCTTTGATTAAACTGCAAAAGTCATATTAATATTTCCATGGCCAACTCTAATCTGAAACCTTTTTGATCACCCGTTATAACCCCAAGTTACTGTTTCTTGAATAAGTGAAGAAGAAACGCCGTTCTTTCACAACCACCTTTAAATTCTTATAAAAATTTCTTGCAAGACAACGTCTCTTTTCTTTCTCACTTTATTAATTATTCTCACAGTTTACTGCTTTTGTTTACATAAAATTATCCTTGGACAATACTTATCATACTTTTACATAATCAATTCTTGTTAAAAAGTTTACAAAGAATTATTGTTGGTTAGGAACAGTATAGATCTCTGAAAACATTTCTTTAATTTTAAGCAGGAAAGTGTACAAATTTTACTTTTTAATTAGACATTTTCTTGTGGTTTGGTAACTTTTTGTTTTGTACAACATACAATAAAAACGACGTATTTTTTCTTATTATATTATCCTTGTACTTAGTTGAATCTGTTAGTTGTGCTTCACATTATCCTGTTCTTAATTTCGAATTAATGCTTATATCCATTTGCAGATGAAACATGAACTTCTTTATCCCCTGGAGTCGTCATTTTTCACATGAACTATATTAATATTCTTTTTTTTTTCATTATTCATTTTTGTTTTTCCTAACCTATTTCGTTAAGATTTGCTTTATTTGAATAGTTAGAATTTTATTCCATATAACATAGTCTATACACACATTTTAAAAATGTACACATCCTAAACTTTTACAACAACAAAAATTAAACATAGTAATGATTCAACCAAAGGTGTGAAATTTCTTCCTAGAACAAAATTTATCATCTTAGGCGCGTCTGAGTGACTTTATCAAACTTTATCGTTTTTTGTGTTATAATTTGTGTTACACTATTTCAACACTATCATTTTATTATGCGTTAATAATAATACAATATGAACGAAAAAAAAACTCCCATCGTAGGCCATTGCAGCTGTTTGACCCTTGATATATATCCTTATTTTAAAAATAAATCATTACATGGCCTGCTAGTTGTCTTTTTGATCATATGGTACTGAGCGACTATTAATGTTTTTAAGTTTTTTTTTATTAGATTGCTAACATATTTATTTTTTTTTATTTTATTTTTTATTTTATTAATTACGTCCCCCAACAGGCACTGAGGCCCAATTACAGGGGAACTTTAATAAAAAAAGGTTTGAAATTTTACGTAGTTACGTAGGGTAACAATATAATCAAGTGATTCGAAAACTTGACACGATTTATTTCGTGGACAAAAGCAGTGAGTTTTCACAGTTTCGATTTTGTTTCAAAGTTAGTAGATTATAATTTCATCTACACGTCAGTAATAAATTGTGTAGAAAATCCCAACATTGTTTCGATTGATTTTCATAGCCTTGTATAATTTAATACGATTCTCTAGAAGATAAAACATGTCTATGATTTTTAAGGAAAAGGCTGTTTACGGCAATAATTTTACTTTTAGTAAAACACTGTGTATCGAATCGCTCACTAGTTTCAACGGCACCACACTAGTATAGGCCATCCTCGAAAATAGTGGTTTTACAACTCTGACTTCTTCGTCACCCTTGTCAAAGAATAATGCACGTTATTACAAGCAAATTACATACAGCACCTAAAACTTAGGTAGCGGGTCCTTCTTAAATAGCATCTATCTGCTAAAGACACTAGCTTAGATAGCAATCGAGGGATTTGGGAAAGCCAAAATCATAAAACCGCTATTTTCATAGATGGCCTATACTTAATTTTTCCTCTTTATTATGTAATAGGCAGCAATCAGGAAGATTATCCAGCTTATGCAACAGTGATACTCTATTTTATTGGCTTTATATTAAAAAATCTAATCTTAAATCACCGTTAAACAAACATAAGAAAATAAAAGTTAGATTAGTTAAGCAAACATCGAAATTTAAATGGAACTGATAAAAACATCAGCAATAACAAACTTATCTCCAATAATGGCATTTTTTAAATTGCGTAGATATGGATTTCGGAAAAAATATATGCACCATTAAAAAAATATAATTCCTAATTTTAAAATGTAATTTTATGACATACTTTAACCACACAGCTTCACACATAATCGAATAAGCAGGGAATCAGAGTTGGCTGCACTTTAAAAATGTCAACTATCAAGATTAATACGTTGATATATTGATCCATATGTCATTAAGTCAGTAAATTTTAACCCCCAAAAAATTGACACTGTTCGCAGAACATCTCTGCGTCAATAATTATGATGTAGCATTTTAAAAATTATGTTTTAATCGTACAAACAACGTATAATTTACTATTAATAAGCACCTTTAAGACAGTATCACAATCGCTGTTGGAGTGTTGTTATGTATGTGTAACGTGTCTCTTTAAAAACAAGGGCTCCGAACTTATTATCGTTTTTAAGAATATGGTTACTATTAAAAATTTATTACTTCTCTTCCAGTAAAAGTTACAACGGTGATAATATCACAATAGAGAAAAAACTATTTAGTGTCTAGTTTGCGAAATACTTAATCTTTATTGAAATAATTTTGCTTTCACGAGATGTATTTAACAAGATTATGCTAGTTATAGTAAATTTGTGTACACTTTAAATGGTGGTTATCGAGATAGCAAAAAAAAAATGATCAACGACAGCCATGAATTTTTGAAGATTTGTCTTTGATAGAGTTTTCGTCTTGTCAAATTATCATCAATGAAAGTTTGATAAAAACTGTCAAAAACCCTATCTTTGATCGTGTTTTTATCGCTACAACTATGAAAAATTCCGATGAGTCTCCAATTTTGTCAATGCAACGTGATTCGGCAGTGCACGATGAATTAGCTTTTTCTTGCAAAAATTCACGTTTCAAGCCAAAGAATATGGGGATGACAGGTGGACAGGCACCTACACAATCATGGAACAATAAGACTTAACGTTAATGAAAATAACAATAGTGGAAAATATATTGTATAAATGATCCGTTTAATTTAAAGATTGAAATTAATATCATTTATTACCAATCAATGTAGGTACCACTTTTATTGAAACATAAGATATGTCAGGATTCATAAGATACGGCCTGTTTGTTGGAATTCAAATAATCTATCATTATTTAAAAAAAAATGTTAATGCTATGCAAATTTCTTATCAAAAACCATTTTGCTTATTGTATTTTAATTTTAATGAAGGTAATTTTAGATAATTCGTACATACATAAACAGTGGCACCAAAAAGTGAATGAAAAAAATTACACTAATTACCGGATTGTATAGGTACGTTAAGTACATTTCGTATCAGTACTTCCTTTCGTTATTTGTTGTTTTTACAAAAACATAAATGTGATGTTAAAAATTGTACGTAGTTTAACATATATACATATGTATATATTAAGATTAATTAAGTGAAGCTACACACATCTAAATAGTTCACTGATAAGACTTGATAAACTATTGGTTAGGAAATCTAATTTGATAAGAGTTTTTTAAGCATGAGATTTCTGCTTTAACACCACGTTTCGGAAGCATTTTTAATAAAAACTTAAAGACATATTTTTAGTTTAAGATAAGCGAAGTAGATTAAGGGTGTTGTGACGCATTATTCGCATGGATTTAGTCATCATATCCATTAAAATATCGCGGTAAATTTCCCCAAAGTGACATGCATGACTCCTTGCAAATTTAATTATAATTGTGTGAAACAGCTCACCTTATATTTGTCAAAACCAACTAAATGGTCTGCGGTTAAATAGTTGGTTTCCATGATTTCTGCAGATTACGCTTAAATGCTACAATAATAAACACTACGTTTTAATTCATTTAACTGTATTTATCGTTATTCGAGTCATTAAACTAATAAATTGTAAAATTGACTGCTTATATACCTAACCCAAGCACGCCATTTTTGTTTAATTACAGGTGGCGCTCTCTGTGTTAAATCGAAAAGTTGCCGCACTTGATACAAAACACCAGCAAACAGATCTCTATAATTTACTTAATAAAATTTATGAAAAATGGATTTAAAAACGTCAGTCTATTTATTTGCAGTTATGTATATTTCACATATAAAAAAAGGCATTATTTTAACATCTGATAAAGTAGCTCATTTATACATACAATCATGTCGGCAAATATTTTATTTCTTGCCTTCAACCATAATAATGTGGTATCCAAACTTAGTCTTAATGGGGGGATCAGTGTACACGGGATTATTCACTGTCGAAGTAGGTAGTGCAAAAGCAGCATCTTGAAACGGTCCCACCATCGAACCTCTGGTCATCCACCCCAAGTCACCCCCTTGTCGCGCTTTATCTTCACTGTATGCCGCTGCCACTTCGGGGAATTTTTGACCAGCTTTCAACTTTTCTAAGGCTTCGAGACATTTACCTTGTTTTTCGCACAAAATGTGCCTTACTTTTACGGCGGTGCCCCCTTTTTTCTCTTTTGATTTGTCTCCAGAAGCTGAATCGTCGCCTTTCGATGACTTGGCGGCTCCTTTTGATGCGCCTTTTCCAGATTTAGGGGGCATTGTCTCAGACTTGAGAGTTTAAATGATTATTTTGTAAACTTGGATGTGAGGTTAGGTGATTTTATTTTGAGTTTGAGATGCACGCCATCTTATGTGCGAGAAGTAAAAGTTTGAAACAACCGTGGTTCGAAATCTATTCATGGAATAAAAAGAATTCTGGAAAGTAGAGATCTAGAGAAGAGTTAGTCGTTACAAAATGCAAAATTACACGTTACTTAAATATGTGTAGTTAATGTATTAAATAACGAATTAACTTATATTAAATGAATTGAATTTATGTAATCAATTATGCAGGTATCTCTTGGGAGAAGTTGTTTATTTAGTGAGAAAATGTGTAGAGGGCGCTTTTGTTACATTTTTATTTTTAATTTTTCAAGCTATTATGTAAGTAAAGATAAGATTATTGTGTGGTTTCATGTTTTCCTAGATTTATTTACTAATCTCTCCATTTTTTTGTAGCATTTCCATTTTCCAAAAGTCGAAAATACATTCTAAGTTACAAACCATCCAGAGTTAATTTGTGCATAAACGTATATGCAAAAATAATCCGCAATCCATTTGCAAAATTTTGTATATTGTAAACTTGCTCTTGGTTTAGTGGGTACCAAGATATTTGATATCTGCTTGCTAGTACATCATGTGTAAAGACGAAATAATAATTGCTACTAAAATCTTGGCTGCAAGGGTTTTTTCAGTCAAAATAATGGGCCATCATTTACCGTTGTCTGTCAGATGTGTATATTTTCTAGTCCTTCGTAGAACAGCTGGATGTATCTCTCAAATATGGCCTGATTCTTATCACATGTTTAGCTTGATGATTTTCGCATTCGGCGGTCCGTCTGGTTAACTTGAGTTTGTTTAGTCCTCACTGTTGGAGACACATGACTCAATTTCACTGTAATCGAGTATTATGCAGTTTCACAATGAATAAAAGAGGCAGTCTTGCGCAAAGTATACTGAGATATGGGCGAAAGATACGCAGTGAGTCACTACTAAAATGAAATTTAGTTTATGGATGAGTAAAATTTTGGCAGTGGATTTTTTGTTTAGTGGTAGTACTTATTTATAATGAATTTTCCTATTAAAATTATATGTGTACCTAGATCCGATAGATTAGTTATGTTTTTTGAATCAGCTCGACGAGATCGGTATCTAGGTATATCCCAGAACTTTTTGGATGTTATTATCTTAAGGAACTTTTTAAAGCTCTCAGGTTTATAGAAAAGCGAATTAAATATTTAGTCCTTGATTTATTTAACCATGGCCGACTAGTATAAGGATTATGGCCTGTCCAAAGGTACCATACGTGCTGCCATCTATTAATAATTCAAAAACGACAAAAGAATTATTAACACTTTTTGAAAGGCACAAAAGCATTCATACCGAAACAAATGACCATTACACGTTTTGAAGTCTCATAATGTCAAATCAAATTAAAATTTTGCTAAATTATTAAGTGTAATTATTAATAGATGGCAACACATATGGTACCTCTTGGACAGGCCATAATCTTTATACTAGTCGGCCATGATTTAACAAAGGAGTAAAATGCGGAATATGAGCCTATGATTGGTTAAAACATGCACGTTGCCTTGTAGATTATGTGATGTAGCAGTTATATTTGGCTTCATTTCTTCGAAATTTCTAATAATTTTTCAAGATTCGATTAAATAAAAAAAAGTAAATATTTTAGGTAATTTCAAAACCTTTAATTCCAAAACTAAGTTTTCGAAAATCTTGTTATATTTTTTAAATAAGCGCGTCAGGATCTATGTTCCAGAATTGTTTGAGGAGTTTTGGGTAACTTTCCAAAAATTTCGATTTTTCATACTGTCCTATATGATTTTTTTTTACCATTTTTCGGGCACTCTTCAAAAATTACCGAAAGACATATTCTTGTACATTTCGACCTGTACAAATTATTTTAAGCTTCACTTCTTCGAACATTCCAATCATTTTTTAAGAAATGAAAAAATAGTTACATGACCATTTTCGAGACAAAAAAATTCATTCGCAAATCGAATTTTTCGAAAATATTGGTCCGAAACCATAAACACCTTATGCTTTTCGAATCAGCTTGTCGAGAATTATATCCCAAAATTTTATGAGGATTTTTAAGCAACTTTTCAAAAATCTCAATTTTTCCCCGTATAAATTTTTTGACAGTTTTTCGAACACTTTTCGAAAATTATCTAAAGGGAAATTGGTGGTATGAATAAAACTGAGTAGATGCTAATACTCGAAGTACAAAGTACCTACTTACTTCAGTATTACCGAGTATCTACTCTTATATGTATAGCTGAACAGATGTCTATATATTTGGGACTAAGTACATAGAGTAGATCCTCTTTGTACTTAGTACCAAATATTAGCATCACCTTGAAAAACTCGAAACATTTTGAGTTGATACTCAAGTAGATATTTCGAATATAAGCATCTACTCCGTTTTATTCATAGCACCCATTTTCTTGTAGATTTCGACTTGTAGAAGTTATTTTCGGCTTCACTTTTTCGAAAACTCCAATATTTTTTCTAGAAGCGATGAAATTAAAAATCACAATTTTTGAGAAACTAAAAAAAATCCATTTTCACACCGAATATTTCGAAAATTTTGGTCCGAAGCCATAAGCATATTATGATTTTCAAATCACCTCGTTGAGGTCTATATCCCAGAATTTTTTGAGCATTTTTGGGCAATTTTTCGAAAATCTCAAATTTTAATTTTTCATACGTACTTATAATTTTTTTAATTATTCGGCTTCATTTTTTCGAAAATTCTACCATTTTTTCCAATCGATGAACCGAAAAATGAATTCAGTTTCAAACCAAATTTTTTGAAAATTTTGGTTTGAAGTCATAAGCAGGTTCAATTTTTCTACACTCCCTCATATGATGTTTTTCACTGTTTTTCGGGAACTCTTCAAAAATTACCTAAAAGCATTTTCCTTGTAAATTTCTAGTTGTAGAAGTGATTTACTGCTTCATTTCTTTGAAAATTCTAACATTTTTTCCAGAATCGATAAAATGGAAAATGCCAATTTTCGAGATATTTAAAATATTTCATTTTCAAACCAAATTTTTTCAAAAACCTTGTTCCGAAACCATTAGTACGTTTTCTTTTTTTAAACAAACTTTTGACTATTTTGACCCCGTATTAAATTTTTGACAATAGTTTAAATTTTGAGATGATGTTATCAGATATTTTGGTGGGGACGATTACATAAATCAAAATCAGTCCAGTATTTTCGGAAATTATTTGACTAATAAAATTGGCCGCAGACGCCAAACGACAGCAGGCGCGGATCCAGGGGGGGGGGGGCAATTGCACCCGTTGCCCCCCCGACACACGACCGAGGTACTTTATTTTGACCAATTTCAAAATTTTGAAATCGCATTTCATTTTGTAAATACAGTACAACCTCTATAATCCGAATTCACGATTATCCGAACATCCAGTAATCCGAACAGAAGCTATTTGAAGTCGATGCTTCTTTAATCCGAACAAAAACTCTGCAATCCGAACTGAACTTGGAAACACGCACCTACTTGCAAAAATGACGCAAGATCTTTCTGCATATATTGTATGGAATATTTTGAAATTTTTAAAAATTGCGATATTTCAATGCACTGAATTAATGAACTATTTGCTTCTGGAAAAAAGGTTGAAGTTATCGAAGAAATGAGGCCCGAAATCTACAAGAAAAAGTATTTAGTTAAATTTCGAAAATCCTCGAAAATGGGTCGAAATTTGCATGAGGAAAATTTCATTCTTGAAAAAATTTCCTAAAAATTCTGACAAAATTTTAAGAGATATATGTATATCCCAACGTGTTGATTCCAAAAATATAGCATGTTAATGGTAACCGAGTAATATTTTCGGAAAATTCGGTGTGAAATTAGAATTTTTCGAAATTTTTAAAAATTTCGATATTTCAACTGGACGAATCTGGAAAAATGGTTTAAGTTATCGAAGAAATGAAGCCAGAAATGACTTCTGAGGCCGAAAATCTACAAGAAAATGTATTTAGTTAAATTTCGAAAATCGTCGAGAATGGGTCGAAATTTGCATAATGGAGGTAATACGTAATGGAAAATTTAATTTAAAAAAAAATCTTCTAAAAATCCTGAAAAAATACAGGGTATAGATCCCGGCGTGTTGATTCCAAAAAGATAGCGTGTTTCTGGTCACGGAGTAATATTTTTTTAGAATGTATCTATTATTATCCATTGTTACTTAAGAATTCTTTAATTTTGTTTAATGAAATTAAGGTTTATTTCTTGAAGTTTGTTTTCAACTGTGTATGAAGTTGTTATTAAATTCCCTTTCAGATTTTTGGGAAAATCGCTGATCCGAACAAATCGTTAATCCGAACACACCTTTTTCCCAATTAATTTGGATTATCGAGGTTCTACCGTACACTATACGTGTAACGAAAACAACCAAATGACACCCATGTTATGTGAAAAAGAGTATACTAGCTAAAATTTTATAAATTTTTTTGTTTAGAACGAATTTCTGGGAGATAGGTAAAATCGCACAAAAATTGCCCCCCCCCCCCCCCTAACGAAATCCTGTATCCGCGCTTGAACGACAGACGGCAGTCAACAAGCAGGTGGAAATGAGGACATGCTTTTCCTTATTCTAGTAACTATGAAACGTCGAGAAAACCTGAAATTAGTCGTTCGTCAAATAGTCTCTCTAACAATAATTCCCTAGCTTTTGCTCAGGAAGTAAAAAGAGTCTTCTTTATAGTAACTTTCTTCTTTCTTTTGGAAATTTGATCCCTCCTTTGACTTCAGCTTATAGTTGCAATAAGTGTATACTTGAGACGACCAAACAGCGAAGATTGACTTCTGTTTTAATGGAAGTCATCAATAAATGATAATTTACTGAAGATTGCTTGCCTCAAAGGGACAAAGGTCCTATGAATTGCTATTGCTAGAAAATGTTGAAAATTTTCTCTAATTACAATGATAGGAGAAAAGACTTTTTCTACCGCCCACGTTTTTTGGTTTTCTAATAGAGCTATTAACGCACGCAAATGACGTCACAGCAGTTCGTTAATAGCGGAAAGGCGTTCTTTAATAGATCTGGTGTAATTTAGATCGGTAAGATTGGTAGCAATGACGAGAAATGTCAGGTGAATGTCAGTGGCAAATCTAAACTTAAAATTTCCCACGTTTCCGGACGCGTAACTTCTTCGCAAGACATTTTAACCAATTTTAAATTACGAAAACTCGAATTGATTTGAATTACAATTGTTGTTGTGAAAATTCGAACCTCAAATATTTCGTGGTTAGTGTCAGACCAACCCATCACCAACCACGACAAAAGTCCCCAGATTAAAAAAAATGCAAATTTTAATTAAATTTTGGGAAAAAACGTGTGCGGTAGAAAAAATAGTATAAATAACTCGTTCATAAGGCCATTGAGGCACTCATCCTTTATATAACTCGCGGCTTCGCCGCTCGTTCTATAAACTTGGATTCGTGCCTCAATATTTGCCTTACGAAACTCGTTCTTTAATATACTATTATTCCATAGTATATTAATTTTAATAAACCTTGTTGTACTGAAGGGATTTTGTACGAAAAGATCGAATTTGTGGACGAAACGATCCCCTGTATCAGATCCATTATATGTATAGTGTATTTCGAATTCTCAAAAATCACTGCCACAATGGAGCAAACGATTCGTTTTGTTTTATTAATTGTAAATAATAAAGAAATATGTTACCTTTAACAAAAATACTATTTCAGTTTCTCTTGTATATGTAAATGCAGTGCTTTGACATTTTTTATATCACTGCTTTAATCATTGAGTAAATCGTGCTGAAAGTGCATTAGTTTTCTTGCTTCAGTTCGTTTGCTCTATATGCCTTAGTTTCAACGCTTACCTGCGAAAAGAAGCGCGGTAAAAGCCTACTTACTGGGTGATAATTGTTGATTTACAATCACCCCAGTTTATGGCTTAGGCGAACGGAGTTCTGAAATAGACTATAGTTACTTTTTTTGAACTAGACTGTAGACACTAACATTTGAAACGTCTTGCTTGGGCGAGGTGATTGATGAAAATATCTTCTTTAAGAAAAAGGTACCACTTGACTAAAAATATTTGTCAAAAAGTTCAGTTACTGGTTAAGTTTGGAAGTTTTGAAGTGGTATTTTGAAACAATTTTTTCTCTTTGCCCAAATTAGTTACCTTTTTGAATTCTGTTTCTTGTGGATTGTGTGTACCAATAAAGGAGGTTGGCCGAAACTACTCATTAGAATGTCATTAGTTTTTAGGCTGAAGTGGTCTGGTGCCAGGACGCTAGATACTGAACTTTTAAGAACACACTTATCTTTATCTATGTTGGAATATTTTTTGACCAATTATGAGATTGCAGTGTAGTTGAGGTCATTTGGTGTAAAAAAATAATTCACTATAATTTTACTTGAAAGTTGGTACTGTTTACTGAATCATTTATAAGCCGAGACGAAGACATCTTTGAGTCCAAAATGAGATCAGGAAAAAGAAAAGTTGAACTAATTCTGGAAGAAGCTTGGTGATCAGAATCAACTTTTTTTGAAAAAAATGTCGAAGGGTTAGAAAGATAGTAGAATATTTGCTAAACCATTTTATGGCATTTACTTTGAGACAAGGAAGACAGAAATGAAGAAAAGAAGGATAAACTAGACGAAAAAGTAAATAATGAAATATTTAAGAGAAGTTTGAGAAGATTTTCTTAATCTTTAGACTGACGTGAATTCTTGTTGATTAGTAAAATATTGTTACGAAATAAAACCATACGCCGCCCTGGTACGACGCCTATGGGTAGTATGTAGTATGACTCATCGACTGGTCGAAGCGGCGTTCGCTAAAGATAGGCCCAGAAACGGAAGTCGTGGGTTCCGGAGAAGTCTAGAAGCGGTGACGTAGGCGTTTCGAGAAGGGCCGCGTGCTGTTTAAATAGAGTCCACCTTCGGGAACGATTGTTATTCAGCTAGTTGAGTCAAGAGAAGTTGCGCTGGAATTATTTTATAATCGCTGCAATAGTTAGTTGTGTAAATTCTAGTTAGTAAGAAATAAATTGTTGAGTTTAACCCACGCCGATTTTATTCACCGATCAACGTAACAATATGTAGCAAAAGTAACTAACACTGACGAATGTTAATAAAGCGGTTTCCCTAATCTTGTTAATTGGTTGGTTCAAACTTTGAAGACAGAAAAAAATCTAGGACTTCAAATGTTAAAAAAGTCAAAGATTCTATGGTTACTGGTGGTAATTTTGTAAAGGGTATTAATCACGAATTGTATATGCGACGGAGGTTATGAAAAAGACATAATCGTTTAAGTTGTGTTTTATTCTTTACCCAAATTTTCTATATGTAATAGAATACATCGTCGGCATTGGCACTGTTTGAAAAAAATATATTTACATATATCAATCAGCATAATTACAATAAAAAACAATTACAATAATACTTATAACAAAGTCTTAAACAAAGGAGACGACGCTATATCCACGAGATCGCGTAATTTGTAGCGTAATCTTCAGATCACAACACATAAAAGTTTATTAAATGGTCACTTCTTGTCCTCTAATTTGGCTTTGTCAAGAGACGAAGTAACTAACATAGCCTGTCCTTGTTGCGTGTTTTGGTTGGGAAACACTTTATCTAAATGTTTCAACGATTCACTTAAAAAGTTCTGAATGGCGGTGAGAGCGGCCACTATGGCAGGACTCCCGAACCCGTGGCTTATGAGCGAAAAGTGCGTCAGATGTCGTTGTATCGATGGGTCCAGAAGAATTTGCGGCCTCGTATTGCACAGCGGCGACCGGTCCTGGTTGAGCAGGTCCATCAGCTCCTTGGTGATCTGCTTCGTGGCCTGGAGCAGCTCCTTCCTCCTCGGAGTCTCCCCGTGCTGCCGCAGCAGGTACTCTGCCACCTGACGCGCCGGAAACTCCGTCTCGCAGACGTATCCGAAGTCCCGCGCCAGGTGGATGGCCTCGCCCTCCACGAGAGAGGTCAACAGCGTGACGTTGGCGGCTTTCCGCCGCCCCGCCGGCAGATTCAGCCCGATCTTCTCGAGCTTCTCCCGAAGGATCCTGCCGCCGTTCTTGCTTTTGGCCCTCCTCAGCACGCCCCCGAGCAGCGAGGCGTTGAGGCACTCCGGCGGCGACAGACGTCGTTGCACTTCACCTACGGTTACTTTGTACTTTGAGGTTGACGAGAGGAGGGAGAGGCGTCCCGGAACCGAACAAAAGACGTCGCTGGGCGACACCATCGCGCCTCCGCCGTGGTCCTTGCCCCCTTTCATACCTGCAACAAAATAAAGCAACTAGAGTGAAAGGTTGAAAGGAGTCGCCACGAGGGGTCTCGTTTGCTTGTTTGAAGGCGGGCACACATCTGTCACGTTAATAATAGAGCCGACACCCTTTTTAATTTAAATTGGCTTTTCTAAATGTGCAATAATTGGCGGGTTTGCGATGCTTACTTTTTAAGAGAGGTAAGTCGGATATGAAGCCTGTGTTGTCGTCGATGCCACCCTGGGCCTCTTCCACTGCTTGCCCGAGGGCCTGGTGGAGCGACAGGGGGTCATCGTGGGGTCGTTGAGGGGTCGTTACAGAGTAGTCGGGACGGCCGCCACCGGGCGCCGAACTGTACGGAAAACCGGCCCCATGGCCCAGTTGACTCTGAAAATTGACAATTTTGTTAAACAGTGTCACAGATACGGACAAATATTGCAGTAACAACATTGTTTAGAGTTTACGTTGGTTGATTGCATTAATTTTTTTACGTAAATACATTTTTGGGTTGGCAATTCTCAATTATTGGCAGCAATGCCAGTTCACACATTTGTCAATTTTGACGTGAACGCACCTAGAAGAAGATGGCAGCTATACTGCATTGGTGCCTTAGATTGGTGCTCAAAATTTTAAAGATGATGCCAATCTGGCAAAAAAATCACAAACAAAAACAAAAAAACAACATTTGAGATTTAATGTTAAAAAAATTATGTTGGCAACATCAGCATGTTTTTGGTTGTTTTTAATTAGTTTGACATTTACGATCAAATAACTATCAAAAAAAAAAACAACTGCACTGCCAACATAATCATTTTCAAAATAATTTTGATGGTTGACCAGACAACTTTTTTTCGATCATATAGAGTACCATATGTTACAATAGTATCGACTTGATTATCTACTACGTCAGGTCAAAATTTTGTTAAATAAATCTCGTTCTAAATTTATCTGTGATGTATCAAGTTAAACAACTTTTCAAAATGGTTACCGACGTTGTAGGCCACGATTGTACAAATTCAGCTTCAGATTTATAAAAAAGTAACTAAATGCCAGTTTTATCATTTTGAAGCTATGATTTAAAAAAAACACAAAGAAAGAAGTTCGTTTAATAATAATGTCATTACAGCACTTACTGACACATATGTTTCTAACAAGACAACTGAAATGTCAACAAATAATTATAATTCCATAATTGCAAACGTCGTTTAGAATTTTCACAGCCATCTGAGTTGACAACAATTTTGAAATACATAATGTCCATCTATATTTTAATAATGTAGGGGTTATTATATAAATAATATGTGTAAAATGAAATTTTACAGTTGATCTAGCACCTCTGACATATTCCTAGGACATTAAGATTGCTTTAATGATTAGTAATTACAAAAGATATAATTTCTGTTTCAGAAATTTGGTGACTTCATTTCAAAAAAAAAATTTAATAAATAAATAAATATGTGTTGAATGTTGTTAGATCTAATTTTGTGTTTTGATGATATCTTGTTTTTTTAATCACATACCTAAAAATTGAATGATTTGAAGTATTTGTTTATTGATTAAATTAAAAATGGCTGATCTATTTTTTCTGAAATTCTATGATATTCTTGCGATTCTCATGATTGTTAACGAAATGTTTGTGGCTTAATAATTTATTCTTACTTTATATTAATAACACATGATCAAAAAGTCCTCTAGTTGGCCATGAAATTTATTCTTTTAAAAGTAAATTGTATGGCCTACTAGAGGACTTTTTTCGATTAGATGGTACTAATCAACAGTGACTTGGTAATTAAAAAATATTAATAATATGTTATGCAATCATATGCTTCACTATTTTGTTAAGGAAATCCCACTTTGCCTATCTTTCTTTTTTATTTTAATACATATCTTCTTTTCTGGTGATTTTTTGCCTTAAGTATAATAAAAAAACTTTGACCAAAATTTCCTGAGTAGCAGGGCATTTTAAATGTGTGTATAGTATTCACCTGAAAAAGTGATCAAGTTGGCGTTGCTTTTTACTTCCCGAACGTAAGCTAAAATAGTATGGCAATCGAGGCAATCGGTCGATTTGCCAGTTTCAAGTTTTCTCGACGTTTTATGACCCCTAGAGTACGAAGAAAGTGGTCTCCTGTTTCCATCTGTCTGTGTCGTTTTTTATTAGACAGATAATCTCCGAAACTACTGGACTCATAGTTGTCAAATTTTGCACATAAAACGTGTCTTTGAAATTTTAGAGCGCCAGTTTAAAATTTAACGCCGTCGCTGGAACCCATTAATTCCATTAAGTTTGATGGCGATGAAGTGCTGGATAGCGGATAACACGGCTGTGGAAATTCCAAGGTCGGAGGCGGCGCGATTGTGCGGCGGGAGGAGATGGACGCACGTTTGTAGATTTCTAGGCACTGCGAAACGTACAGATAACGCTGTGGTTGCTTTTGTTTGATTATCCCCACCAACAACTTGATGACGTCGTCTCGAAATTTTACGTTTTATAAACAGCATGGTTCTGCGTTATATGAGTTTATTATTACATATAAAAATTGTAAATTGCAAATATTTTTTTTTGTTTATCAGCTCTAAAGTTTCATAATGTCAACTTAAATTTTTGCTGTGAAAAATAGTAGGTACAAGATACTGCAGGTTTACATTTGTGTCGTCGCTTTTTCCATCGGCCGACTCTGTACTGTTACGTTTTCTCGACCTTTCATGACCCCTAGAGTACGAAGAACTAGGTCTCCCTTTTCCTACACATATAGTTTATGACTACGTGTTGAGTTTTTAGCCGAAACGTTCAGATTTTTTTTGGAAAAAAAATCAAAATGATATATAACACAATATTTTGCAATTTAATTTTGAATCTGCAAAACCGAATGCTTTGAAATCTTGCAGACGTTTTAAAGTCATTGTAAGCATGGTAAATTGTTAATCAAAATAAATCTGTTTATTCCCCCAAAAAAATTGATGACGTTATCTCAAAATTTTGCCGAATAAATTCTACCCAAAACGTACAAATTGTGATTAGTTTTTGTGATTTATCACTCCGTGCATATTTGTTCTCAGAGGGTATGGCGTTTGCCAAAATCAGTCTTATCTGAGCAAGTACTAGGCCCGCCCACCCGCCCCTATTTTTTTCAGGGGATATGTCATCTGCCAAAATAAGATTAACCAAGTACTAGCAACTACTATCCTCTGAGGAATTACGGGGTGGGTGGGCGGTCTTAGTGCTTACATTAGATAAAACTGATTTTGTTCCTATTAATCTTGTAAAAATATGTGAAATTTAAAGGTGTTAAATTGCAAATTTCCATAGTTAAATTCCTAAATCTACCCGAAATGTGCAAAACATGATGAGTTTTTACTTCTGATTTATCATTGCATTCATATTTTTTAGATTTGCTTAAACAGGTAGCTCCAAAAAATTAATGAATGCGTGAATTTTTTTCTTGATTAATTCAATAAAATATCCATTTTCCTAAAAAATTTTGGGAATACAATACTGTTATTTTTTAATTTCCATTTTACACTAAAGAAAATAAGTAAGTGAAATGGAGAAAAAAGGTGGGGTAAGTTCAAATTTTTTCTAGGTTTATGAGCAAGCAGTAATCCCGCCCACCCACCGCTTCTTCGTTGCACTCACTACTCTTAATATTGTTCAGTCCTAGCTTAGCAAGTTTTTTTTTGCATATATTTATTTATTTATTAATTTTTTTATTTTTTTTTTATATTAGGAATATCATGTATTGGTAAAACGCTAAGCAAAATTTGGCAATTCATCCCCACCAACAATGTTATGACATCACTTCAAAACTGTACATACTAAATGGATTTTAAATTATAAAAAATAACATACTCCTCCATGTGTAGTTTATGAATTCGTGTTGAGTTTTTATCCAAGACATTCACATTTTTAGAAAACAAAAAAAATTACAATTTTTAAATCTGCAGAATCGAATGCTCTAAAATTTTGCAGACCTTTTAAAGTAATTGAAACCATGGTAAATTTTTAATGAAAATATATTTGTTTCCCCCCCAAAGATGATGATGTTGTCTCCAAATTTTGCCAAATAAATCCTATCTAAAGTGTGTAAAAAAGGATTAATCTACTTGTGATTTATCATTGTATTAATAGTTTTTAGAATTGCTTATACAGGGTTGCTCAAAAAAATTAATGAATGGGTTATACTGATTAAATCAGGAAACATTACAAACATATCTTATATTAACTTAAAGAGGTTCTTATAAAAAATAAAATTCGCAAAATAAATTTTTATTACTTTTCGAATAAGCTGGATATGTTTCATTGTACTTCAGGGGCGAGGGAAGTTCTATCGAAATACCTTTCGTCTAATTTTTGCTACAAGAAAACTTAGCGAAAAACGCATGTGTTTTATTAACACATACTGTGTATAGTTGACATTTCCGCTTCGTCAGCTGTCATCGATTAAATTTTAGGTTTATTACAGACATACTTCACAATGTTTACAAAAAATCAAGGCCAGCTTGATGACTTTTTCAATTGAACACACGATACTTATTTATCTGTTGTTTATTAGTGATCTAGCTTTATTTTTAACTTATGAGTTCTTGTGGAAAATTTTAAAATTTTTTGAATTCATTTGAAACCCGTTTAACTAATTAGATCGCAGGAACAAATTTTACTAAATACTTTTACTTCAATTAAAAAAAACGAAACGAAAATAATACAGGATAGGAAAAAGTATGGAACAATTAAAATATATTCAAAAGCTTTTATTGTTCCAACTATTTCAAATTTCAGGCAAATGAGATAAGGCGTTTTGGATTTAATCGTAAAGCAATGCTTCAAATTGGAACACATGAAGAAATTACATGTAGACGACCATGCTTTTCTTAACATTTTATCTCAGATTGACTACGCAAAATTTTGAGATGAGCATCGATTTTGTAATTTCTATGACAAACTGTAAAATTTTGTTGTACAACCTCATCACTAATAAATCACATGTATAGAAAAATATTATTTTGTCCATTTTAGGTAGGATTTATTTGTTGGATTTGTTTTTAAAACCTCTAAAAATGTTCGATATTCAAATGACAGACAGATGGAAACGAGCAACTCACTTTTTTATATTATAGGAATAATGAAACGTCGATAATTATAAAATTGAGCGATGATATCGATAACAAATAAATTTCTTTTATAAAATTTAGAACCTTGTTGAAGTTTTAACTGATTAGTGATTACAGAGACTTGTAGCTTCGTAAAGGTAAAGAAAAACAGTTTTTTTTTATTGACATGAACATCACATAAACGTCTCTTTCGATTTAGGAAGGTAATTAATTAACATAAGTGATGGTGTACAATTTAGGCACCAGTAAAGTTAATGGATAAAAAAAAAAGGTATTGATATATGTATGTTCCCACTTAACTTTTTCATCATTACATTTTTCTCAGAATCCGTCATAATTTTGAAGAATATTACTAAATTGAATCTTAGTATGACAACCCAACTGCTAAAAAATGCTAAACCAAAAAGAACCCGAGTTCTCTGTTATAATTCATCTGTCAGGCAAGCCATTTAAAACGACTTGAAAAATAAAACAAAATTTATCTTGGACACACCACCATGACTAACTTGGTGAGTGTAGGTCTGGCCGTCTACTATTTTTATACCTATTTTATATGACTAATCAGCTAAGAATTATCAAGCTGGAGAGAGACAGATCCAAATATTAATTTAAAAAAATGCAGAAAAACAAAGTGAATGCAATGGAAACCCATAAACATTTTTTTAAATAGTTTCGAATTCCGTTCTGTAACTGAGATAACAATACTGTTAACCTGGCATTCAAACATATAATATGACATTTACAGTAGGTTTGATATATGTTAATGCCGATAAAAGCTGTTTGTACAACGTGACCATAAAAGATCGTACATCAAATTGACTTTGAAATTTCGCGAATTGTGCCGCCTCGTTGTAATGATGGATCGGCGCTTGTCAAAAATGTCAATCATAACCTAACTTTATTCCGATAACTTCTTGATAATTAGGCAACCAATAATTCAACTCGAGTGATAGATTTGAATGGAAAATTCTTAGTGACCGGTTTTTTATTATTAAAAATTAACCATCAAATTAATATCAAAATAATGACAGAAATAGTTTACGTTGTTAGCATCAATAAATTTTTGAAAATTACAAATATTAACTTCGAGAACCAACTGATGTATGCGGTATAAGGTTTGTATACATACATAGTATAGGAAAGTTGAAACGAAATGCAACACCTAACTGGTTTAAAAGTAAATAAAGTGTTTAAGTGGGACACAGTTAAGAAAAGTTGTTATGAGATTAAAGAACTTATCTTTCTATAAGTGTTTTTTTAAGTTGTCAATCAAAACTTACGTACTTCTTAACTTTTGTTTTCAACGAGCGCGCACATACTTTATAAAAAAACGGCCAGACAATAACCATCCAACTTATTAATTACTTAATCGTAGCTCTTCCTGCGTTTTTCATATTTCCTGGTTTCGGAAGTGCTAAAGCTTGTAGACTCTGATTAATATAAACGAGAAACACTCTGCGAGTGTCGATTTTTCGAATAAATTTCATTTATATTAATCGGCACCCAATGAGCAAGCCATAACTATCCATAAAACCGAATTTATAGCAACTCAAAACGCTTTTAATTGTGCCATAAATGTTCCATTCGAAGCCTTATGTAAATTCTATCTCTCTCGAAGTATCCGGCGAAGAAAATTGATGATGTTCTAAGAAGCACGTATTATGCAATTAAAACGGTGGTGATATTACATGACACGAAATAAATTAATGGCATGTAGGTATAAGGAAGAAACACAATATGAGCCCAATTTAGATAACTGTAAACTGCCGAAGAGAAGTAGTGAGGCGGAGGTACTTAATAGAGAGACCTCGATGCACGCTGAAAGAAATTTAATGATGATGCACGATCTGAAAAATCATCTTCTCTCGCGATTCTTGCAGTGCGTGAGGAGCCGACGCTCCAACAGAGAAGTTGACAAAATATTATTATGACAGGATCGATCCGAGATGAAGGAGCACAATCCTGACATATTTGCGATGTCTTGACATAGTTGCAACACTGAATACTTGCCGGAGAATGTCAGTTATCCGAGCACCCTTCGATAGCCCCAGCAGACAGATAAGGCGATTTGAATTTCCTATACTCCGGCGCTAAATCGCGCCTTTCGATTCTTCGCCCCTCGCATATTTCCCTCTGGAATGCCGAAGGAAGCGTGGTGTACTATTTGCGATTTTTAATTAAATATCTAGGTGAAAAATCAGTGACGAACAAGGATTGTTTTTCGGAATAAGTTAGTCCAGAGGTTCTTTCGTAAATTTTCTTGAATTATCTGTTTAACGAACGAAAACGACACTTTTTGACGAATTTTCTTGTGGTTTTCATATGAATTTACTTTAAATTGCATCGTATAGAGAATAGGTCTTTTAAGCCCCGACTGTGTGACCGAGGCGAAATCGAGCACGACAATTCTACGAGGGATTCATTATTTTTTGTTTCTGAAACTTAAGAAGCTGAAGAGGCCACAGTACACGATTGCGGATGAAATTGAGTAAAAGTTATGAAATATGGTACGAAGATTTTAGTAAATGTTGTAATTAGAGAAAACATATAAACACGCGGAAGCGGACTAATCGCGTCTTGTCTTGAAAAATTAAAACATGCTAAGATATTCTATATATAATTTTTTCTAACAGTAGAATGAGAAGATTTTATTCACTCGCCGAAATTAGACATTTGGCTAAACGCTCGTGTATTAAACTGTCGCTCGTAAATAAAATCTGTTTTTATTCGCTTATAAAATAAATTACTTGGTTAATAAACTTGTTTTTTTTAAGGAAAGCTATTATAATTGAAATGTATCTTTGGAAGTATAATTTTAAAAATATATATATTTCAATAGTTCATCAAGTTATAACTACTATGTACTAACACTTTTGTTAATAATTTTCATTTGTTTTATCAAAAACAATATACCTACATTATAGTTCCCACGTCTGACGTGTATTCGTTTAAAGTAAAATGGTCGAAATAATCTAAAATACTCATAAGAGAATTTTTTTTGTTATCCACTATGTCATTATAATCGTTTATAATACATAAAGAATAAAGTTACTGAGACATGTATTCCACAAATTTTTTCTAGAATTTCCACACAAGTCCCATTTACTCTTATAGTTTTGGATTTATTTTTAAGAATTAAAAACAAAATTTTAATGACAAGAAAAATAATGTTCTATCTACTTGTCAAAATAAATCGGCTATAGGAACACGACTATTTAGTTATGCATCAATATTATTTATCTTCAATTTCAGTCTAATTTTCATAACACGTTTTGGTCACTCTGTTTTGACAGCGTAAAATAAAAATATTTCTCGTACGACACTTAACTTGTTAGTCTTGAGTAACAATCAGTCGCCTACGAGTGATTTCCTTTCAAATGCTCTCGAAAAATTCCCAACAAGATTTCACGCCAAACGAAATTTATTTGAATAATTACAACAATTTATTAACTCTAAGCATCTGAACATGTCAGGATGGTTTCGTAACAAACATTTCCACATATTCTATCCGAGTGAAACATATAGAACAATTTTATGCACAAGTTAAACACACCCATGATGGAATGTTCTAATTTATTGTTTCCACTCTTCGCATTCCAGTTTAAATTAATGTCCAGATAAACTAATGCAAAGAACACATTTTTTCTACATTGTTGGACATGTGTTTTTGAATACCGCGAAAAGCAACATATTTTATCCATGTGTTAATAATAGTTTACCTTAACAAAGAGAAAAAAAAGTATAGGTTTGATTCGTGCGACAGTGGTACTTACCACGTGTGTGTGGTTGGGATCGCCCTCTCGTGGCCGAAGTCCCAACTGGTTGTAGTGGTGAAGACCGGAAAGACCACCGTAGGGGTCAGTGAGGTACTCTAGGTGCTGCTGAGGAGGCGGACTAGGTGGGTGGTGGAACGGCGGCGGAAAGTACGGGGGCTGGAAGTCCGGTTGGGGCAGCTGGTGTTGCATGGCCGAGCTGTGGTGAAGGCCCCCGGAGCCGCGGTGGTGCGCTCCGGAGCCGCCCGCGCCGTATCCGGGCGAACTTCCGCTTAGAGCTAGTGAACCATGGCCTCCGGCTGTCAACCGTTCCTACAATGAGAAAAAACCAAAATTAGGAAGTTGAATCGTAATAAAACATGGTTTTATTGCCTGTTAAGTTGTTATTGTTGTAACATCTATGTAAATTAGTGGCGCTTAATTTGTAGAAACATGAGTTATGTTTTATTTTTGGTATATAGATTAGAATTTTACCATCTACAAGATAATTTTACAGTACATCTAGAAATTCTTAGCGATCTATCCAGTAGTTTTGGTAATAAAATCGTTAACAGACGGACAACAGACAGTCAGACGTTAATGTGTTCGTAAAATGTCGTAGTAATATGAATTTGGTAACATTTAGGTTTTAGAAACTGATACTGTTAGTTCCATTTTTATCAAAAGAAAAGTTCAAATAGGTCTAAAATTTTAAGTCCACGATATACTATAGCAGATATATCTGATCGGGAAATAGAATCGTACTGTTCGTGTGTGTGGTTTATGTAGAATATTAATCATGTGGTAACACACCGGTTTAATTTTTATTACTTACGTTTAAAAAATATTATGATTTTGTTGGCCTGTGTAAGTTTCTTTGAAGTGATGTAATCTCAACTCGACCGAAATTTTAATTATAAAAACTCCGACCAGCGTCAACAGATATTAATTCACGGGTGAACTACTGCATTATTAAATACTAAACAAGGAATTTCCTAAAAAATTACAAAGAAGAGTTACTGTACTGCATAATAAGGAAGTTATCTTATAGGAGTAGAATTTATAAAATACTTAAATGCAAAACTAAAAACATGTTATTCTATGTTTTTCAACGAATTTTAAAAATAGATCCATCTTATTTTCTACTCGCAATTTTGAAACATTTATTTCTACCGGATGTCTAAATAACAATCTGATCAAGAGTGTGATGTCACAGGCTTTTGTTTTTTTCCGTATGTCGTTTCGGAAATGAATTTTGAAAACTGTGATCCGCTTGTCACATCGACTGTTGTTTAATAACCGTATAAACTGAGTTAGACTTTGGGACGCAACTATCTCACACACAATGACAAACACTGTGACATACGGAATGAAACAATAAAATAGCAAGCAGTCCTCTTGACCAGACTTTTAATTAGACAACCGATATCAAGTAATTGAAATAGCCTCGAGGACCGCTTGTGTTTTGTATTTTGAAGTAGTTTGAAGGATCTCAGGGACCTCTTTCACTCTGTTTTTAAAATAGTTTGTAAGAATTTCGGGGACCCCTTGTGTTTTGCTTTTGAAGTAGTTTGAAAGAATTTCACTGACCTCTTGTGAATGGTTTTTGAAGAGAAATATATTGAAAAAAGGGCAAAATATAAGCCCCGCCCACCCGCCCTCATCTCAATTCCTATGAATTTTTAATTCCTTATCAGACAGAGGGGCGGAACGTAATTGCAAAATCCATATTTGCTTACAAAAATTTACCACTTTGCTAAAGTTTTAAGTTTTTGGTTCCGAAAAGAAGACTACGTACCTACAGCAAGAAAAACAAGGCATAATGCAAGCCCCGCCCACCCGCCCTATTCCACCTGTGATGATTTTTTTATGCAGGGGTCGGGTTTATATTTTGCCTTTTTTTTAAGTATACCTACGTAATTTTCTTTTTATAACATGAAACTGAAAACAAGTTCAAAATGGTAAAATTTTGTAGGGAAATACGGATTTTGCAATTAAGCTCCGCCTCTTAGCTCACGACGAATAAAAAATCATCACAATTGCGGTGGGGTGGGTGGGCGGGGCTTATATTTTTACTTTTGTTTCTCTCTTAACATTCGTAATCTTCTTTCCACAACAAAAAAAGTAAAACATGGTAAAAATGGTAAATTTTCGTAGAGAAATATATTAAAAAAGGCATAACATAAGCCCCGCTCACACGCCCTCATCTCATTTCGATGAATTTTTCATTCCTTGTCAGACAAAATCGATATTTTTGCTTACAAACATTTACTAATTTGATAAAATTTTAAGTCTTTGGTTGTGAAAAGAACATTAAGAAAAACAAGACAAAATGAATTAGACATCGAAATGACAACTGTCTCGAACACAATGACCAACATATGACATAAAAAAAACAATAAAACAGGAGGCAGCCCTTTTGACTAGATTTTTAATTAGGCACCCGATATATTTTTAACTGTTTACAGGGGTTGAATTTGAAAGAATCTCGGGGACAATTCCTGTCTTGTTTTTGAAGTAATTTGAAAGAATGTCGGAGATCCCTTGCGTTTTGTCTTTGAAGTAGTTTGAAAGAATCTCAAGGACCTCGTATGCCTCGTTTTTGAAGTAGTTTGAAGGAGCTCGGGAACCTCTTTTGTTTTGTTTTTGAAATATGCAGTTTGAAAGAATCTCGGGGACCCCTTATGCCTGGTTTTTGAGGTAGTTTGAAGGATCTCGGGGACCTTTTGTGCTTGGTTTTTTGAAGTAGTTTTTAGGATCTCGGGGACCCCTTTTGTTTTGTTTTTAACGTAATTTGTAAGAATCTTCCGCATCCCTTGTGTCTGGTTTTTGAAGCAGTTTGAAGGAATCTCGGGCACCCCTTTTGTTTTATATTTGAAGTAGTTTGAAAGAATCTCCGAAACCCTTTTGTTTTGTTTAGAAGTAGTTTGAAAGAATCTCGGAATTGCATGATTAGGAGCGTATGGGACCTGAACTAGCGCGGGAAAAATTTAGACAGAGGCCTAAGAGGTCGGAATTTGACTTCAGTTAAAAGTATATAAAATTTGGATTCGGACACCGGAAAGTTTCCGATTTCTAATATAGAGGTTAACAAACAAAATTTTCGAGCAAATGTGGTTATACCTAAATAGTTCCTTTTCTACAGTGGTATGACAATGATCAACGAAAAAATAACGATTCAAGTGACATTTTTATAGTATAATCGTTTCAGTCTTTATTGAAAAAATGTTCAATTTTTGGAAAATTTTCCTGCGACACCTATGTTCTTTGAGAAAATTATAACATTTGCCAAAAAGTGAGAAAAATTATTATTATTTCGTTGAAGTTGGATCAACAGTATCACTGTCAGTGTCCACGTTGGAACTCCTTCGTTCCGCTCACACTTTTTCCTTTGAAGAAGTTATATTTATCCGGATTACTGTTCTTTAAATAATATGACACGCAGCGGAATAGTCGATTACCAACCAATACCGCGTATTGTTATGGTGGAAAATTCAACTTAACATTTGCGATTATAATAGATATTCTATTTATCCAATTATCCATTCATTGACTCATTCATATTCATGCCTTCCAACATTATGACCATTATTAAGCTTTATAAAATTATTACTACTTCCTTTCAATCGATTCAGGAACATAAATAATTTTACACTTATAAATAAAATTATGTATATCTCTAGCTCCGTCACTGATGACATCTTAATATCATCTTACATTGTAGAAGTGGTAGGCGATGAATAATTTATTAGAGATGATCGTATAAAATTATAATAATTATTTTGCGACTGCAGGTGATCCTTGTTATAAGGTAATCGAAAAAGTGGCAATGATAGTTTTCAATTTACTGGGGCAGATGGAAATACTACATCCACAATAATTGACCAGTTTGAATCTGTAATTACTAGAAAATGGTATACAATAAAATGCGGAATTGATAATGTAGAGTAAACTGCTACATATTTAACGAGATTGTTGTGTCTTCTTGTTAATGGATCGGAATGCAATGCAGCTGCTGGATGTAAAAGGTAGTTAAAATCTGTTACAATTTCGAAACTACAGACAGGTAGATAGATTTACGTGTGCTAAAAAGTGCACTTGAATGGGACAAAAATAAAAATAATCTGACATTCTCTACATTAAAAAACACAGTATAGATGAGTAATGACACTGTTATTACTCATGACAAACCATAAAATACAACAAATTTTTCATCGATGCCATCACAAGGAACACAACGTTATAATTACACTCGAAAGCCATTATTTACATTCAAGTATTTATTAATGACGCTTTAATGACGTTACTACCCATTAGGGAGTTTTATTTCATTAGTTTGCAAATTCTTTTAAAGAAAATTTGTGAACTGGTAACAGTATAGCGTTTTTTGTTACGGGAAATTCGTTCCACAGGATGTCTGTCATCTGTCAGAGCAGCTTATAATGAGTATTGATGAGAAGAGCTTCCACTGCCTATCAATTCGCCAGATATGTGTTTCTTGATCTCTTATTAAAAATGATTACTGGTATGAATTTTCCACACGTACGATTTATACCTATAATCATCCAACAACGGTTCTGCAGACCTACGCACTAATTCGTTCTTTTTTTGGAACGTAAGTTAGAAAGGTTGTTAACTACCGGATCAAATAACAAGTGGACATATTAACCCAGATGATATGGTAAGTCAATGGCGAGGAATTTGGTTTTCAAATTAGGGATAATTTATGACAATAGTTCCTGATTTAGGCGAATTCCTTTCAAGCTTCATTACTGGTACAGAAGGTTAATTATGTGTTAATATTTTCTTATCTTTAATTATTTTCACTTATGTTTAAATTTTTGTTTCCCCATTTTAAAGTTGAGAATCTTGATTTGTTGTACGTCACAATTTAATAATAATGCGGGTATTCCCAATATATATAATAGGTATTTATGTATGATTCACTGTCGGCTATAGAAGTGAATTTTTATTTTTTGTTTTTAATTTTTAAAGGACTTGACTTTCACATTTGTTGTTCGACGTTGTAAATGCAATATTAACTTTGCTTGTAGTTGTGTATCGTTGTAAAATACAAAACTTAGATATAATATCAAGGTAACAAATTAAAAACAAAGAAGAACAGGCCTATCAGATGTAAGAACGTGGAAATAACTTACTTTATTGAATTAAATTGGCTATCTAGATATGCATTTAAATTTACAGGAAATGTATCGGGTGTCCAAATAAAAACAATATAATTTTTTTTATAAGGACTAACATAAAAAAATGATTTTGTCCGACACTTTTGAAGCTTTTATAAAATTCCCGTCGCTTTTTTTTGGCATCAGGAA